GGGACAAATCATTGTTTTCCAGAAGCATTTGGAATCTGAGCGAAATTTATAACTTAGATATGCTTTTTTTTCATTTCTGAGAGCCATAGTAAATATGTTGCGCAAAGATCTACATTCGTTTTTTGCTGTCTCAGTCTTTAATTTTTTGTACTTAGACAAGGCCTTATTTCTCAGTCGCTTCATAAGTATCAAATTATTAGTAAACCAAGGTGCCGGAGCTTTGGTTATCTTTGATGTTTTCAGGGGACCATTTTCGTTAAAGAAAAAAAGCATCTCATCAACATCAGTCACACTATAAACATATAATAGTATATACATATATATAGTACAAGTGCGGTAAACGGCAGTTGACTCACGAATTATTTGAGACGAGCGGAGCGCAGCGGAGCCAGTTTTTAATAAACGAGTTTACCGAACGTGTTGCATACTATACTTTTTGTACGACCGTTAGTTTTTGGTACATTTTCGCAAAACAACAAGAATACATTCACTGACATGACCGTCAGAATTGACAAACGTCAAAATTCATAGCGTGGGAAATATATCCGAAAACATCCCGGAAATGTCCGAAGCGGCTCGGATTCATGGGAAACGAAACTGACTTCCCGCACGCTAGATCCATGGGTAATTAGGTATCTTACAGATGGAAGTAGAAAAACAATATTCCAAGGAACAACGAACAAATCAGAGAGAAACTGCTCGTAATTAAAATTAGTATAGTCTCGGTAAGTTCGATATGACGTTTGAGGCTTGCTCCTCACCAGCCCCAAATCACAGCCAACTAGCGAACGGTCAGACATGTTACTGATATCAATTACACGAACATTACCAGAAAGATCTCTAGAGGACGTTAACAACATATCGATTAAAGTTTGCGGCGTAGTAGTTATTCTGGTGGGCTGTGTTACTAATTGATGGAGGTTGCATTTCTCCGAAAAAAGGCTAAGACACATATCTATTACTAACCGTATTAATAAAATCAACATTAAAGTATTCCCCAAAACACAAACAATCAAACTGCGAATTTAAAATTGCCCAAATACTTCTGTCGTTCACCCTACCACCAATCCAAAGCTGCTCCAATTCGCTATTACTCTGCTGTACGTGTATCATTCTAATAAATCCTTAGATAAAATGCAAAATACACCCTCCCCTGCTCTCACGGTCTTTTCTAAGTAGAAGCTAGCCAGGAACAGTCACACTGCAATCAGTAGTATTTGTATTTAGCCACGTCTCAGATAGCCCCAGCACATCAATGTGTGCATCTATTCAAAAATCACTAAATGACACAAAGTCCGAACCATACGAACGAATATTAAGATGAGAGCAGCTGAACGGCCTAAATTGACTCTGCATTTTGTATATTTTAGAATAAAACAAAAATAACTCTTATATTAAGATGTGTATGTATGTATGTATGTGTGTATGCATTCAAACACCACAAGCATCGGATGCCGCTCCCAATGACCAAATCAAATAGTATTTACATTTAGATAGCTATAGTTGTTCATGTGCTTAAGGCTCAGTTCATTGTAATAGAAGATTAATATTGACAATGTAGAAATTATAGGTTAAAGTTGGCAAAAGGGCCGAAAATTGCATAACGCACTTGAAAATTGAAATGGGATTTCTTTTAGGGGCACCAATTCTGTCAATTGCGATTTTAAGTGGTACTTAATATAATAGCAAAAAAAATTTTAATTCCTTCCTTTGTATTTCTGCTATTTAACTAATTATTGTAATTCTTAAATTTTGTTAAAACGTATTTCCAAAAATTAATTAATATTTTAATTAATTTAAACCCCTGGCCCGCTAGGCACTGCGCGTCACATTCGCCACATTTATTTCGTCCTCAACAAACGTCAAATTTCCCTTTAACCGATTTTCGAAACAGTGACGGCCGTTAGGCCAAACTTTCGGAAGCGCCACGACAAAAACAATAAGCCCCCCGCCCCTCCCGCGGCGACTTTTCGTTTAGCAACCGGGGCGTTCGGTTTCCCTCCCAAAATTTGATCAAACTTCGGCCGTAGCCGTAAATTTGAGCCATTGTTGGCCCGCGCGCCAGAGATCCCAACTTTGGATTGATCGAAATGAGTTACAAATTGTTTTATGGAACCTCTCTGCCGAGTACGAGAACAGGCGTGTACTTCCCGTATTATGCTCTACCTGCCGGACAACTTTGGCCAACGCTAACTATAGCGGACAAACTTGCAACGTTCGCCGCTAATTTATTACGCGGCTGGATATGTCTTGAACTTCCTCCTCCCGCAAAACTCCCGAACTATCCCGATGTTGAAAGCGATGATTAGCTGCATCTACTGCAATACTGCGACTCTCGTTTAAGAAGACATTAAATAAAAATTAACATTAACCTCAAAAGCGTCGTCATTGTTTCTGGAAAAGTTTAGGGATCATTGGCCAGAGCCAGTGCATACATTTTTTACCGAAGTGTCTAAGGATCTCTTTAATAGTGTGGGGTGTGGTCTTCACTGTCCTAAAATGGATTTAAGAGTAGCATCGCGTCTTCTGAGAGACTTTTGTATTGCCCCGTCGGAAGTGTACGCCATTAAATTAGCTTTAGAGTTAATTAAATTTTATGATTGTCTCGATGTGGTTATTATGTCAATCTATTACGCGTTCTGGGTTGGACTTATGAAGGAGCCACCTTGAACTTGAGACTAGACAACGATTGTCATACATTTTGGTCATATCCCCAGTATCCCCAGTAACATGGTTTTCGACGACAATGTCCTTGATGATCCCTTTTCTATTGTGGAAGCGTTTGCTCCCTTTTTTGATAGTGTATTTCTCCCTTCTGGTCCTAAGCGCACTCTTTGTAACGTAGTGGATTTAAACTCAAGCATCTATGAATTACTATCCAATTTTTTTTCTTTTTTAGTAAAAGATTGTATTAGTGTCTTTTCCGAGCCTTTACTTAAAATATTTAACCTTGCCCTCTCCTCCAAAAATAACCGCAATGTTGGAAGAAATCCAGGGTCTGTCCAATTTTTAAAAGTGGCGAAAGGAATCACGTAACCAACTATATATATATATATATATATATATATATATATATATATATATATATATATATATATATATATATATATATATATATATATATATATATATATAGTTGGTTACGTGATTCCTTTCGCCACTTTTAAAAATTGGACAGACCCTGGATTTCTTCCAACATTGCGGTTATTTTTGGATATATATATATATATATATATATATATATATATATATATATATAGTTATATATATATATATATATATATATATATATATATATATATATATATATATATATATATATATATATATATATATATATATATATATATACATATATAGTGTTCGAAGTGTTTTCGGAGCGCGAGCATTGAAGATGCCAAGTGAGATTTTGGCGAAACGTCTGCAGGATTCCAGTCGGATGCAGGATTCCAGTCGGATGGAGTTCGGCGAGCGAACGGATGATGTCCCGGAATATAGTGTCATCATATATATATATATATATATATATATATATATATATATATACTATATACTATCACAATCTTATGCAATTTTGCTAAAATACTACTAATTTGTTACAGGTTACTGAGTATGCAGCAAGGGTGTTTGACAGTCAAGGACAAGTAGATGTTGTATATACCGATTTCGATATATACGCATTCGATAAAATCAGTCATGCTGGTTTGCTTCAGAAACTTAAGCGTTTGCCGATGGTGCGGTGATGTTTCTCAGAAACTACTTAAGTGACAGGACGCAGCGCATACCTCATAATGAGTATACATCTAAAAGATAATTTACAACATCAGGGCTGCCACAGGGTTGACAATTTTAATAAAGATAAAAACAATTATCTTGTCGGACTGGCAAGCAGACTATCAATTCATTCAAAGAAAAAGACTTGTAACTTAAATTAGTTAGCAGCCCATTAGTTCAGGGGGATTGTTTGGTGGTCTCCTATTAAAAAAAGAAAACCCTGATACTGTGGGATGCCAATATAACCTCCAAGTCTTTTTTCGCTTTTATCTTGAGCGGATCTGGAATGGACATTCTAACAGCTTATTAAAGGCAGCATTTTGAATATAATTTTATTATTATTTTATTGTTGTTTAGAATTTTTTTTTGTTTTTTCTGCTACTAATTTAAACTCGGAATACATCGAACAACTATGTTATAGACTATTGGCCCACACCTGAAGTTACATGAGTAAATGCGAATATTGAGGCATGACACTATGACCTACAAGTCTTTTTTTCCACTATAATTGAGCAGATTTTAAACAGACATCAAATGCCCTCTTATTTGCTTTAACAAGCGTTTCCACAATTAATCGTTTTTCTCTTTCATTTATGATTAAAGGAACGTAATTTTGATATATTTTTATTATCATGGTTGTTCATTAGTTTTTATGTTTTCATGTTTTCTGCTAATAACTAAAAGTCAGAAAATGCGGGCACAAATGTCAGATATTTAGGCTGGCTTAAAAAAACTATAACCTACAAGTCTATATTCCTGTGTACCTAAGCTGATTTTAAACAGACATCCCAACGGCTCATTAAATGCAGCATTTTGAATATATTTTTGTTATTGTTATTATTGATATTGTCATTGTATAGAATTTTTGTTTTTGTCCTTGCCTTTTTATTGTCTCTGCTATCTGGTGTGTTTGTCTGTTTTGTTGTTTTTAAATGCTTGATAATTTTATTTTTATTAATCGTTTTTAACAATAACTAGTTTTGTTTGTGAGTCTGTTCTTTTCTGTATTTTATTAGGAAAGGTGTCGAAAGAGAGAGAATAAAGTATAGGAAAAAAAAGACAAAAGCTCATTATTATTATTTGATGTATTCAATATATATTTATTTATTTCCAAATATTCTTATTATTTTATTATTGTAATTATTGATTGCATATATTTATAAATAGCATGTTTATGAGTAACACAAATAATTGAGACACGCCTGTAAAATTAAATAGTGAATTGGGGGGTAAAGAAATAAACCAATCACACTTCAGTTATTTTTAATGTATTACAAAATAATTTACACGTTGACGATCGAAGAAAACTAAACTGCGGCGCCCTCTTCGGGCGTATCAGCGAGTATTACGTACACAATTTACTCCCACGGGACGGCGTCGCGACACCGGCCGCCAGATGGCGTCTCCGCGTCGAAATCGATATCGCTAACCGGCGCTGTAGCTCTCTGTAAACCGTTATTGCCGCAAAAATTAAACACAAATCGCGCGATATACAGGGTGTTTTCGAAATAACGAAAACGAAATATGTCGCTGCGACTAATACGAAAACACCCTGTATTTCGAGGACGACTCATCGAAACACCACCCCCGACGAACACGACAGACGCTTACCCCCTCTCTAAGGAATCGACAAAATAAAAAAATCTGGCACTAAGTGTTTCATACTTTGAAACTTTCGTTGACCTAAAAACGAAAAATATACCGGACGATCCGAAGAACTCACCCACCCTCCCCCTTCTCCTGCTAAAGTGAAATAACAGACCCTTACCTTCGGTCGACGCCCCCGGCGGAGGAGGTGGAGCCGGTCTCGACGCAATCGGCGGCGGCGTCGACATCCTGTAAGCTGAAACGTCGCCAAACTGTAACCCAATTCCGACCCACAACTCACCAGGTATACCTCGCTTCAATTCTGAAGACGCGAAATGCGGGTTGGAGTCTTTCCTCAGCAGCGGCACGCTGGCAAAGTTCATCGAACACTCTCCTATGATGTTCAGCGCTTCCTTGCACGCCTGGTACATCTGCATCTTCTCTTCCCGCCTCTGAACTTCCTCGACCGATTCCTCCATCAGCGAGCCCTGATTCTCCGACGAGTACACGTGTATGAGCAACTCCTCGCAAATGAACCTCTTGGTCGCGTTCAGCACCATGTGCGTGATGGTCTTCGGCACGAGGTCCTTGGTACTCTTGTTCACGATACCCATGTAACTGTCCACCAGGTTCCTGATCACTTCCACCTGCCTCTTGAGCTGGGGATCCGTTTCCGGAATCTCCTCCTCGTCGGACTCCTGGTCGTGCTTGTGCTTCTCCGGGTAGACACCCGCGCGTAGCAGCGACGCCTTCCACGAATCCTCCTCGTCCAACGAGTCGCAGCTGAGCTCCAGCTGCTTGTAGTCCTTGTAGATGTTCCGGCCGCTGGGGTAGAACAGGCCGAACGTGTGCCGCCTCGATATGAACTTGGACTCCAGATCCTTGACCTTGACGCCGTTCAAGGGCAAGATGTACTGGACCTCGCGTTCCGTCTCGTCCTTGTACCAAGACAGGTTCTCCGACGCCAACACGAACCAGAAGTCCTTCGAGCCCTTGATGAAGCTCGGGTTGTGGATGCACATGTAACCTTTGCGGATCACCTGGTTCCCCGGAGTGTTCCGGGACCTTGAACTCGACTTTTCCGCCTGGTTTTCGGCGCTGAAATGAAGCCCGTTCAAGCGAGTGTCGCGCGAAAGAAGACCGTCACTAACTTCGCGAACCCTATGAAGTCCTCGTGGTTCGTGTTCATGTAAGACAGCTGACACTCGATGTAAAGCAGCAACTGTTCCTTGCAGGCGTGTTCCTGGGTCCTGATTTGGCGCGAGATCACCCGCTCCACAACGTCTCTGAGACGCGGATAACGCGACATCTGTTGCCAAGAAGAGAGCACTGATCATATTCGGTTACTCTGATGTAGTAGTGGTTCTAGTGTGGTTCAGTGGCGCTATTTTGTAGCTACTGTGCTTATCTAACAGTGGGCGGCCCTGTTTGGACGGCATGGCAACGTAATGATAAAGTAAAACAGCTAGGCGGGCGTATTCATATCTGGAAGAAAATGCCTGAAGGACACGAAGGTTCCGTGGTGGGTTCTATTGCTGAATACAATAAGGGCAAATGAGGCAAGAGCGTTTGGAGCAATATTTAGAAGCTAAGGAACATGATTTTGGTTGGTAAAAATGCCCACAAAAGATTTTAAAGCTTCGAAGAAGATTCAAGACGTCGATGGTTTATACGAATTGGGAACAAGGCAAGCACTTGCAGATCTGGAAATAACTTGATGAAATTTGGAAGAACAGGTTTGTGTTTATGTGGCCATAAATAATAAATAAAGAAGCAGCAGCTGAATCAACAACTTGCAGAAAAGATTGTTCTAGAAAAATTTATTAAGATGGGGGAGTGAGTAATGCCAAGAGAAACGCACAGAACAAGACAGGTAACAAGTTGCGTCAAGGTTGTATGAGGGACCAGTTAAAACGCAGGCAAAACGTGTCCTAATTTTGTGATTGTGAAGTAGTCGACCTCTGAGTCAGGTCAGAGTCTGACAGTTCAGAAGAGAGTTTCAATTTCATTGTTGTGTATACGTTGAAAAGTAAGCAAGATATTGTATCTGCATCACGAGTTAATGTGACCACTTATGACCAACTTTTAATAATAGAAAACAAAAATTTAATTGTTATTTGGGAAAAACCTCAGTTAGGCTTGGATGGTAGTATTATTAAACCTCATTATTGGGGAGGGATTTGATAAAATTGATTTTTCCAAACATGTAAATGCACTGCAAAATCATCCAATGGATTCTTTAGACTTGGGAAATATCTTAAAAAATTTATTTACTTACGAACTAGGTTGCTATAGATATGGAAAAAGTGAATTAAAATTAAAGCCTTATCTGTTTATTGAAAAAATGAATACTGAATTGGATAAATTGGAAATTCAAAGTAGATAGCTCAGAGTGGGGTACTCTATTGGTATCTGTTTTGAAAGAGGGAGTAGATATAAGATTATGTTTGGGCGATATATAATCCCTTCTAACGCATATAAAAAAAATCTTAAAGCTTGGAGTGCTCATCTCGGAATTTATAAAATAAATAGACTGCCACATGATACTGAGCTCGCTTGTTCTATTTTTCAAAAAATAGTGGAAATAGTTTTACATTGAGCAATATAGACTATATTGTAGCAAGCAGCAAAAATCGACAGTTCAGATAGATTGAACTTTTCTAAGTGAAAATTCTTTAAATCAAGGGACCTATAATTAAAAAAGGAAATCTATATACAGATCTCGACAAAATAAAAACAATTACAAATGCACCGCGTCCGGCTGATGAAACTGAAATGAAAGCTTGAACTGAGGTCATCATTTGATAAAGACACGGTGTTGTCGAAACAATTGTCATGTCATAATATATAATTTCGTAAAAATCTGAACTTTTAGTTCTTATTTAGTTTGTGAAATGAAAGCTTTCATCGGTGTGATAGATTATTGTGGCAAGTCATTTATCATCAATGTTAGATCCACTCTACGAATTATTATGGTCAAATTCTTGTAACGCTGCATTTAGTATATTTCGATCCTAAGCTACCTTTAAAATTAGCTTGTGATGCTTCCAAAACCAGATTAGGGACAGTACGTTTACACATAATGTCCTGATCACTAAGCTCTTGTTGACCCTGATATTTGAACCCTTTCTGATCTTTTCTCGCAAAGTAGACCATTTTAGAGATTTTCGGCTAGATGTAGCTTTTACCCCGTCAGCTTTCGCTATCCAATGTCATCTGTTTTAACCAACACCGCTTACGTTATTTTGGAATTGTTTTAAAATATCCATTTCTTGTTCAATATTTAAAGTTTACTGACGAATTGGTCAACAATGGCGAGACCTTTAACTCTCGTCGTCGTCGGAAACGTGAATTGCGTGCACAGACGATCAATTTATCACGTATCAATCGTTTTAATGTATTTTTTATTTTCTGAATAAATGCCGGAAACTTTTTGACCAAGGTGGTACAGCGCGTTCAACTTTTTTGTTTTTAGAGATATCAAGGTAAACAATGGTAATGGAACATTACCTTGTCTCTTAACTGATTGATTGCCTCTGAAGTCCTTCGCCGAAGTTCCGCAACATTATTACAAGAAGTTCTGTGTACGTCAATTTTTTACGTGTCCCCAAAAAAACCATTAAACTTAAGTCGGGGCTGTTCGCCGGCCAATCTATAATTTCGCCGTTGCCTATCCAACCTCTGAGATATTCCATGTTCCATAGGGAACGGCGAAACTATGGATTGGCCGGCGAACAGCCCTGACCTAACTTTAATGGATTTTTTCTTTTGGGGACACGTAAAAAATCCAAAGAACTCCTTGTAATAATGTCGTGGAACTTCGGCAAAGGATTTCAGAGGCAATCAATCAGTTAATAGACAATGCTATATCAAAATTTTCATATTTTTGCCTAGTGGACTAAAATAAAAAGTTTGTTACATCATTGCGATCTGAATAAGATATTGTATTAAACACGTATATAATATACATGGTGTTCCATTAAAAAAAAAAGGTAGTGTTTTGTTTTATACGTCAAAAAACTTGGCTATTAACCCTACATTTTGTTTTTTGTTTACCTTGATATCTGTAAAAACAAAAAAGTTACAGTCAATTAAAATGTTATCAACATAAATTGAACGCACCCTCTCGGTGCAAAAGTGAACCACGTGGAGGAGTTCGGCGACGACGAGGTCGACGCACTTGAGGCACGGCTCCTTCAGCCTATCGATTTGCTTCTTGACGATCGCGTCGAACGCCAGATCAGGCGTGAAGAGGCCGATCTGAAAGCAACCGATGGCCACCAGTTTCACTACCGCAGGTTCCCGGACGTACCCTGATACCGTGGATGTTGCAGATAGCGATGGCGATTTCCTTGCGCAGTTCCGCCTCGTCGAACTCCATCTTGACGATTTCGAAGGGGAACCGCTCGTGGAACAGCGAATTGATCTTGGCGCCGCCGCACAGCTCGCTGGTGTTAATCTCGCTCGACCGGGAACCCTCGAGGGCTTTCTCGAATTCCAGCGAAAAGTTCTGCACCAGCCTGCAACAAAACCGACGTGAGGATCACGAATCGGCGACCACCAGCGAGGCCGGACGATCATGTTCACCGAACCACCATTTTCACGTCCTCGCTGCTGTGGCGGTCACTCCGCGACATTTTTTTACATCTCCAAATGACATCGACTGACAACTGAACGTCAAAAGTCTCGCTCAGCAGAGTCAAAACCGTTCCAACTCACTGCAAGAGCGCCTTGGTCTTCCGCGTCGGATCGTCCCGTTTGAAATTCTTGAAATCCCCCAGCTCCTTCTCCAACGACCACAGCTGCTTCTGGAGGTTGTCCCTCAACGAGGGCAACGTGTTCCTGATGTGGTTGGTCAGTTGAATGTTCAACGTTTTCTGCAAGTACGGGGTGCCCATCCTATCGGCCATCCCCCTGTAAGCGGGATGGCTCATGAAGAACTTGCGTTCATCGGCAATGGCGAGTTTGATGTCCTTCCGACCATCCAGGTCCCTTTGGGATCTGTTGATGACGCCCACGTAGCCCCGTCTCAAAGGCAGCAGTCTGTTTTCCAAGATGTCTTTGGCGTTGGTGCCTACGTCCATGAGGTCCAGCTTCGTGATCACGCCGATCGTTCGGAAGCCTACGTTAAAGGCGAAAGTCACTCCAGGCCTATCGAAATGCGGTAACGGTCACCTTGGGGGTCGACTTCCCTGGCAATTTGGAGAGCGTCGGAATTGGCGAGGTCGGTGTTCGCCGGGGTGACGGCCAGAATGAGGCAAGAGCCTCTCTTAATGTATTCCAAGATCATGTTCCTTATCTGGAGCTCAATGTCCATCGGCTGGTCTCCTATCGGGATCTTGGTCATGCCCGGCAGGTCTATGAGGGTCAGGTTCAGCACTAAAACCAAGCAGATTCTACTCCAACCGCATTCTTAGGCACGTCAATGGGTTGGAATTTTATTTTTAAGAAGTTGTTATTATAGTCGCGTAAATATTTGGGCAATTACCGCGTTCCCAACAATTATTTTCGGTAATTGGTCGTTAAATTGGCAAACTAATTAAATTTGACAAACAAGCGCGGATTTGGCGATACCGACAAAACAGGAAGCGTCTGTAAACAAATGCGACGGGAAAATCTAAAGCGTCAGGAGTGGGATTTTTTTACTTGCCGTTGGGGGAATACACCCTTAGGTTGATGGGTAGACTGGAGATGCCCTTGTTGGTGCCGGTGACCCTATTGGTTTCGGCCTCGATTTCTTTCCGTACCTCGTCGAAATCGGAAAACTTTTCGCCCTTTCTGTGAAGAAATTCCGCATATTCTGGAACGGGGCGTCAATGAGCGACTAGGATCTCGTTAGGGATACGCAAGTGTTTACCGTATTCGAAGTTCACTAGTTGTAAGATCAATGGTCGTCTGGTGACGATGCCGGTGCCTCTGGGTAGAAAATCTCTAGAATTAAGAAAGGGACATGGGAAGTTTTAAATATAAAGTGCTTTCACAAATAAATAGTTTTGGCCTAGTGCTAGAGGTACGGGCGAAAATTTACATTGCCCCTGGTGCAGATTAAAATAATTATTTGAAAAGGTATTGAGGATGATTTTGCGCGAAGTGAAGAACAACAGCCAAGTGGTATTTAAAAACTTAAAAAAGCGATATACATGTAATCTTATCAGACAAATTTAAAAACAGCTGTGAACAATGCCTATTTTGTGTATTATTCGGTGGTTGACACCATGGAATATGATTGATTGCTTTGGTGGGATGTTGTTTTTAAAGGTGTCTTTTTTATTGTTGACGATTATTAACATATTAATTTAATTGGATGCCTACACCGACGGCGAAAATTTAACCAAAAATGTATTTCCCGAATATAGTAATAATACTAAAAGAAATTCATCCTGGATTACGTTAATCTCGATATTTACAGGCGCATCTGGGTATAATTTCGGTACACTGGAATAAAGTTTTTTTAAACCAATACTTTATTGGCATTTTTTATCGTAATATTGGAGAGAAGACCACTACACTTGGGATGAAGAACTGAGCAGTTTATCTACGAAAAGGCTCAATTGCTGTGAATCACGCTGCTTTTTTCACTTAAAGAACAATACCTACTTAATATTAAAATGATCTAATAAACCATTCAATTTTTTGCGTGATTATTGTAATTTTATCCCTCCCTCGCCCCAGTTGCTTCAGTCCATTTAGATCTTTCCTATGATATTTTATAGTATACCATAGTAATGAAAAGGTGAAACTTAAACAGGGTGGACAACTTAAAGGTTGTATCGTAAAGGTCAGATAAATTGCAAAACCTGCACACCTTGAATCGCTGTTAAATTAGAAAAACAAATTTGGCGAATTAAAGTATAATGTGACAGTCCCGTTACTACAGGTAATTTTATACCTTTCCTCCTATAAATTATATATTGCCTCTTTTCTGTCTTCACTTCCACCAATTCGTTAAGCCATAACAATTTGGTCATCTGAGAAGAAAATGGTGTGTATTTAGCAGCATTGTGCTGTACTTTCTACTTCTCTGCTTCCTGTTGAAAGGGTTCATAGCTCTGGTCTACGATTTTTACTATCGTCCTGGTTTTCTCTGTAGAACGTCTTAATTTCATTTATATATGATTTGTTAACGTCTGCCTCTTGCAGGGTAATTCATAACACGTGAATATGTTATCTGTGCATGATCATTCCAGTCTTAAACCTCTTTGTTCCTCAATCTCCTCAATTTCTCTTTCCATTCGGACTTTTAGCTTCTTCATGCTGACGTCGTTATGCTACTAATTTCTCTATAATTTCCACATTTACGTATCTTCCAATTTGTTGGTATGTTTTCTCCGTCTAAGCATTTATTAAATATAATGTTGTTGTTCCCAGCCTCTCTCTCGACCTAGATCCTCCTATCAATGAGTTGATCTGTCCCATACCCAGTTTTTCGCCTTTTCTATTTTATTTTGACGGTGTATCTAAAACGGTTATACGGTTGGAAGAAATCATTTAATATTTTCAATGAATGCTATTCGTAGAGTTCAATTCATCTTGCTTGTTTCTTGCCTATATATATTCCCATATATTTCATATATCTCTTTATTTTGGTGTTAGTTTTGGTTAGTCAACATTCTTCTTCTTTTGTCTTCTTTTGAGTTGAATTATTTATATTTTTTACCAGATTTTTCTTTATTGCTACAATCACACCAGATTTTGCTCTTCTTGCTTTGTCCTCTCTCCCTATCCGTTCTTTTCGGTTTTGCTGAGTACTGCAATATATATTTAGTGTTTGTGGAGTTCTTTGAAAACTAGTTCTTTTTTGGTACTTAAGCCCTCAGCAATGTTTTTTGTATATGTAGATTAGAGAGCAAGTATATTCTTCATTTACCCAAGTTTCATCCAGATAATAGATATTCGTGTTTTTAGTTCCTAACAAAGTAATATCTTATTTTACGTTATTTTAAACACTTAGGCAGAGGTAGGTCAACTACCTGTCTGTCTATATAATACGACCAAAAATATAGCGCATTTATTGCTTTGAAGTTTTAAGTTTTTTGCAGTACCTTAACCGCAGAACTTCGCAGGACCGTGGTAAAACCCATCCCAACAGATGTTTATTCTGCATTAAGTAGGTCTTGCCTGAGATGGACCGTAACGAATATATGTAGAAATTTCAAATTTTTATTGATTGATTGTTGCTGCGAGGTATTTTCGAATAAGAAGAAACGTTTATTTCAACATCAGGTGATATGTATCCTTCTGAAGAGTTTAATTTAAATTGGTTCGTACATATTACGCAGGTATTTGACTGCGACCCTTTCAGTATGTACGAATTTATGTACCTGATTCTCGAGCTCTGACCCTGTGAGGCTGTTTTCACTGGATAGTTCAAAGGGTAATGGTGAGTACCTCTACTCTATTTATCTTAAAGGCAAGTTTGAAAATAATCATTTTTGTCTTGTGTGCCTGTCGATTAACAAAATTCTTCTTCTTGTATTCTTGAGTCTTCTACATAGTTCTTCGATTTGTAAACAACAGTCTTTTTTATTCGCGGGAAAAACTTCAAAAATAAAAAAAAATACCCTGCGGTACTTAATTGCGCTCAACTAAGAGGTCACATGTGGCTCTGAACTTCTACTTCTCTGCCAAATCTGAAGTGGGTAGCTGCAAATTTAGGGCACCTATTACTGTTATTAATATGGCACGGAATATCGCGAACACCTTGTAATATAGGTGAAAACCTTAAATACAAAAGTTTTAGTTATGTAGCTTTGTTGCCATGTAAAAGACACTGATATCAGTTATCGCCGATTTTCAATAATAGGGGGACCTATTTTTCAGTATTTTTTGTAATTTGCGGCGCACCCTGTACACTTTTGAAAAATTGTCAAGAATAGAAGTTTATGCAGCCAAATCTTCTGCGTCATTGAATTCCAGAATTTTTTCGGTAGCGTACACCGTTTTCGCTAAATGATTTATTCCTTAGACCCTTGCATTCGCGATTGTTAATTATTTTAAAATACTTCCCGACCCCCCAGCCCCTCCCCCCCCCAATTTCAATAGGTTCCGTCAGGAGACCAAATGCTATGCTTCAACTTTGGGACACTTATCGTGTTTCATAGCGATGCCAAAAAAACCGGCGTGTTATTGCGGCCATTTTTAATAGGCCTCTATGCCTCGCCAAGGGTTAAATTCGAAATTCTCCAGTCAATTCAACAAAATTAATTTAAAAATTAAGACGCGTTTTGACGTAAACGCCGCGATAAACGGCTCACACCATATCAATTGCAATATTCTACGTTTTCCGGGAAAAAAACGACCGATGACTTTTATAATTCGCAAAGCACCTTCACCTTGGCGGAACACGCGCTCTCAATTTGCGAAAACGATTTCCTGAACAAATCAAAAACGCAATAATACCGACTGACATTGACGATTTCCCCACGGCTATTTCCCAAGAGCCGCGAAACCAAATTTCCTACGATTTCTATTTCGCAAGCGCGCGCGCGCTGTTATCAAATATACCGACGACAAAAATATCCGATTTCAAATCGCTGTGATCCTTACCTGCCCACGAAATTCTCCAAAACGGAACTTTTGCCCGCCGATTGGCCGCCCACCACAGCGATTTGCGGCAAATCGAGGGTGAGCTGAACTCCCAACCGCGTGAACGCGTCTTGCAACTGATTCACCACCGATATCAACTGTTCCATGCCTAAGTTGCCCGACATTTCCACTCACCAAACCGACCAACGAACTCCGCTGCTTTCGACTGTTTTTTGTTTCGCGCAAATCGAACAAAAACATCCGCGGGCTGGGCGTTTGTTAGTAATAAACGAAGCTCACTATGATTCAGTGCCGGTTTTAATTATTTGTTCATAAACATACGCTGGCGGCGACGGCTGCGTTTCGAAATCGACACCGAAGAATCTCGAGATAAGCAATCCGCGGCGATAATCAAATCGCTATTTGCTTTTAGGAAATGCATTATCGTAATGTGAGCACAGCTTACGCGAATTAGGTTAATTGTAAGGACAATTCGTTAGCGATAGATACGCGTCGTCGCGCGTCGTGTTGGTTGCCTACCCTTCCGCTGGGCCCGCTCTGCCGTTTCGCGATAGATGGCGGCAGGGCGTTTGACGTTTGATGAGTTTTAGACCGTTAAAAAATCCTTTCAGTTTCGGTACGATGTCCGCGAGTGGTTTGCGCTTTATCTTTGAATTTATTCACGTGCTCTCGACGCCGGCGATTAGATATAACGCTATGGGCGGACGAAGCGCGAATTCAAATTCAGTCGCCAGGGGTTCCGCGTTGTAGCGACAAGTGATGCAATCACTATTACGATCGGTGATTCCGGTGAAACTCGCGATATCTGTGGTTTCGAACTGAAACATTCGTAACAGGTACGTTTATTTTTTATACCGTGTCAATTAAGTTTGTGACAAAAAGTTTCGACAATCGTTTTTGTTTTATTTTTGTGAAAAAAGAATCTGATATTTTGTTTTTTTTTTAAATTTTAGTACCACTATATTTTGTAGAGGGCGTCATTGGTACTCTATTGAGGACTCCTACGGCCATTTGATATTTCTATTTAGAAAAAGTAGATTTTTCCATTTGTTGCTTACATGAATGTGGATTTTGGTTCGTTTAAATAAAACTAAAACCAAATTCTAAAACACATCGTATGAGATAAGTCGTCTTAACAGACTTCCATTAAATTTTGACTTTGCTTATTCGAGTCTATGCTCTTCTATTCCATAGTTTAAAGAAAAAAAAAAGGGAAAAATTAAAGAATATTTAATAATATTGCTCAATTACTCATATATAACGCGCATAAAAGTTCATATTCTTTGCGATTAATTTAATCCATGGTTGGAGTGTCCGATGGAACTGGAACTCAATTTGCTGATTTTAACCAAATGCAGCGATAAGATAAGCGCGACGAGAGTGCAGCCGGTCTCGTGGAAAGCGTCCTCAGCGAGATTGCGTCGTCGCTTAACCCCTTGGTCCCATGGTGACCTTTCCGCGAGTCGCGTTATTAAAATGTGTTTGACATTGAAAATCGTCTAAGATTGCGCTTACGCACCATCTTTTCGGAGTCGATAACAAAGGAAATATTTAATTACGCATTTTTTAGGCTCGACTTATTATTTAACTTCCAAGTAGCGCGTATCAAATCGCGCGATCGAAATAAATTTTACTCGTTTCGAAACGAAGGAAATAAAACCGCAAGAATTATGGCATTGAAGCCTTTAAGCAAGTTCGAGTGATCGATGACCAATCCAATCCCCAGAACGTCTTTTACTGGAAAATCATGTCAAACAGCACCTTCGGGTAGTACCCAATTGAAAAATCTCAAGTACTTTCATCTTAAGAAGTCGCTCGCTATCTGAATCTGCTTAAGTTTTATTCTATTTACTATTTTTCGTTTTCCTTATAATAACATTCCTCCAAAACACCCAATAATGTTATAAAACACTTTGGATTCCTCTTTTGCAGAATAATATTCCGAAATTCAATGCAATTTCCCCAAAATTAACATTGAATTGAAATGAATTGCTTTCGTACGACGTTTATTATTAAATAATATTAAATAACTGTAAACAAAAGACGACAAACAATACCCTCCCAGAAAAAAATAAATTAGAGCAACTGCTGGAAATGATTAGGGACTGGCGAACTCTTTCTAAAATACACTTTGGGCTGGTGTTGTGTATACTAAGGTTTTTACGTGTCCCCAGAGAAAGAAATCTATTGGATTTAAATCAGGTGACCTGGATGGCCCAAAATGTGGTCCAGTACGCCCAATCCAGCGATCATTATAATTTTCATCTAAACTGAAGTGCGGCGGAGCTCCATCATGCATAAACCACATAGAACGTCTTTGCTCTGGCTTAGATTTTTTGCCTATGAACGACACACCCTGTACATGATTCAAACAATGTTCGAAGTACAGGTTATAGCCCCTGATATTCCACGTTTCCTAGTCCAAGAATTTTTTGAAAATAGAAAATAGTTTTCGAGAAAATAAGTTTTTTCTGAAACCATGCAGTGCGCCATAATAATCAATGACGTGATCGTATCTTGGCAGCACCCGAAATGACGATTTCAATATGGATTTTTTCAAATATCTCGAGCAGCTTATGTGATTGACGAAAACCGCAAATACAAAAATTGTAGCTCTTGATGCGGCCTGTTCGAACCGATTAGCCATAATTTACTCTGTAGAAGCACAATTTGCTAAGTCTTTTGGATTTTTGCCTATTATTTTGAAAACCCTCTATATAATCCAAAAAATGCCTGAAATAAATGTTATTGCACTGGATCTTCCGCGTCTGCTGGTTTTCTAGAAGCTAAAATTACCAAAAAAAAAAGAATTTCTAAATTTTTTTAAAAATACTTGGTAAAATTTGATTGCACCCAATTTCTACCGTTTAAATGTGGACACGGACTTTTACTTCTCTGGCAAATTTGAAGTTGATATCTTCAAATTTAGAACACATTTCTCATTTAGCACGGACTCTCGGGAACACCCTGTACAATAGGTGAAAAACTTAAAAACAAAAGTGAGATCTGAATCATAGTCTTTCAGTTATAACCAATAATAGGGAGACCCATTTTTCAGTTTTTTTGAATTTGCGACGCACCCTGTATATTATTGCAAAATTGTCAAGAATAAAAGTTTATGCAGCCGTATCTTCTGCGTCTTCTGGTTCAAGAATTTTTTTGGTCTCTTAAACGGTTTTTGAAAAATGATGTTTTTTGTAGACCCTTGCACACGCAATTTTTATTTTTTTATTATACTTCCAGACCCCCCAGTCCCCCCATTTGCAATAGGTTCCGTCACGGGGTAAAGCTGCATATATGTGCCAAATATGAAGTCGATTGCTTCAAATTTTGGACACTTATCGTGTTACCGGCGTCGGATCAGGGCCATTTCTTATAAGCTTATGTGCCTCGTGGAGGGTTAAAAAGGACGCAAATTTTAATTTTGTAGCTTCAAGGGTTCGAAACTTATTCAGGGAAAAACCAAAAGACGAGAACGGAGAACGGACAAACACACAAAAAAAATATTTTTCGACGGTGATCTTTTCTGTACCAATGGTGATCCCATAGGATTTACCGTTACCGAGATATACAATTTTTATACTAACGTAGATACTTTAGAAAAATTCGATTTCATCGATTTTTGAAAGTAACAAGAGTGGCGAGAGAATACATCCTTGCCTCACCCCCTGACTTATTTTTACTCCCTCTGATCTTTCTTGTCCAATTTTTAATTCTGCTAATTGGTTCCAGTATAGATTTTTGGTTATGGTAGGTCTCTTTTATCTATGTTAGTTGATTTGAGGATTTCCATTAATTTATTATGTCTTGGGTTATAGTAGATGCGTTTAAATGGTTATTTTAAGTGAAAACCGTGCGTCGTACGAAAGCAAGTTCATGCACCGAATTGAATGCAGATTTTTGTTCTCAGAAAAAGCAGTGGCGTGCCATTTTTTTCTTTAAAAATATTCAGTCCAAACCCCGCACGGACGCCACTGGTAAAAAGAAAAATAAAGCTTTTGTGTCAAAAACCGCCGCTCAATGATTAAAAGATGTTCACCAAATTTGATAAAAATATTGAAAGTGATATAAAAGTTATAAAATAAATACAAATTTTTTAGAAAATATGCATTTTTGGACCTATGTTTATATGAACTTTTCGTCTTAAAGTCACTCAAGGAATCGTTTCTTAATGTTTGGCAGCGTACTTTCTTAACACCCTGTAAATGTCTAAATCTGTTCTATTTCACTATCAGAGTCGTCATTGAGATAAATTATAATTTATGTTGTTTTGTATCGAAATGTAAGAGTGCCCAATTTTTATCATCTGCTGTACTGAATTTTTTCAGTTCTCAATTGGTATGTTATTAATTACATATTTTGTCAAATTTATAACACTCGGACCTAAAGTAGGAATAACATTTTTTGCTCTGATCCTTGATTTTACTTGGTTCGACAAATGCTCTATGGGGTTAAACATGCAATCATATGGAGGAAGACGTTAATCAGTATGGCCAGCCTATCCAGCCAAATTATCGCATACCCAAAAGATGCGCCTTTTTGTAACTGAATTCAAAATAAATTCGCGCAAATATTTCTGTTCTATATTCTATATTCTATATTCTATATTCCAGTTCTACAGAATTTTAGCAATTAAAGATAAAAAATGGTCCATTATAGAGCAATGTTACAAAATAGGCATACGATGTGTTTGTATTGAAATATTAATAAAACATAACCGAAATATAGAGTGGATTAATATATAAGCAATAATATTTATTTCTAAATTGTTTAAAACAAGTTCAAGAAGCATGATTTTGATGGAATTTTATAAAATTTGTGTTCTAATTGAGATACTAATAAAATGCATTATCAGATCGCCTTATTTTATCAAAAGGAACCGTCAAGCCAAGTCGAAACCAAAATTTGCTTCTTTGAAATTCAATTTTCAATGAAATTCAAATTTGCGTAGGCACAAACAAAGTCCCAAAATTTCAGACATTGACAACTCACGTCAGTCGTACTCCAAATAACTTCGTAATTCGCGCCATTTTTTTTGAGTATAAACGTCTAATTTGAGGTTAAGTCGCATTCACGATCTGGCTTCCAGGAATGGCGGTATTAGTGTGGCCGCTGGCCGTGGTAGCGTTCCTGGCGCTGCTGTGGACGGTCAGTTCCGTAGCGAGATGTCTGATAAAATGGACGGTATTCGTGGTGGTATCATTGATATCCGCATGCGTGCCAATTCCCTTGATGCTGCTGAGACCTAGGGACAGTAGGAATGCCCTGTGAGTAGCCGAATCTCGTCGCAGGGAGCTTGGTGCTTACGCAGGGGCCTGAAATATTGTTGCAGGATACCGTCGGCGGGATTCAGAGCTTGCAGCAGGATTTTGGGGATATCGCTGAAGGTAGAAGGGAAGGAGAACGTCGTAAAAGGTTCGGGAACAGTGGTTGTGATCAATCATCAGAGCTTCTTGGATCTGATAGGTAATAACCAACGGTTTGATGGACGTTAACGTTTAATGTTCATTTGACTTTGTTCCGTTGGTGCCGTTTCTATTTATACACTGATTTTCCCTTTTTTTAAAAAAATCCTCGAAATTTCTCAGATTTTTTGAAATAATCCCATACATACCACTAATTTTTCAAACTAATTCCCTAAATTCCCCTGCGTATAACCGAAATTCCTTGAAATTCCCCGAAACACCTTATAATCTAATAAAATACCTTGGAATTCTATTTTTGGAAAATAATATGTCTTAGAATTAACCAGACACTTTAAAATACCATTGATTTTCCTATAAATTTGCTCGCAGATCACTCCTCATGGATTTTTAAGCACGCCAATGGATTATACGAACTGATTTCGCATATTATTTTTTACATATAATATATTTATCTATAAAAACATGAAACATATCTCGAGATATTGGCTTTGTAGTTCGTTTTAAGGAAAAATTAGTTTCTTTTTTTTTAATTTTATGTAGGTACCACGAGAACGAAACAAGAGAAAGATTGCTGTAATAAAACAACGAAGAGTGATCATAAATAAGTACTAATATTTCGTGTGGTTGTTTTAAACAAATAATCATTAACAAAGCAGTAGGTACCGACGCACACTCTTAGCAAATGTGTAAACAAAGATGGCACATAAAGATAAGCATCGTATATCGCTAATTGCGATTGCAAAATTTATCAAAGGTGATTTGAGGGCAGAGTCCTGTTTGATATAGAATGTCAAAATAAACTTAACCAAACTTAACGTGTGTCTATCTCATAGCTAACATCTCCATTCGACAGATCAAAACAATTAACAAAAAAGAAAAGTGTAAAGGTAACAATGGCAACACCGTAAATAGCTGCGATAGGTTCGGGAACAGTGGCGTATCGTCTACGTCAAACGCGACGTTGCCAAATATTGCTAATAGGTAAAGGTGTTTCCGTTTCGCAGTCTTGGCGTGCGTTTGGCCCGTTATGGACAACTGCACGGTCATTTCCAAGAAGGAAATCTTCTATCTTCAACCGTTCGGATTGGCGTCGTGGCTGTGGGGCACCATTTTTATCGACAGAGTGAACGCGAAGGACGCCCAAGGACGCGTCAACCAAACCGCAGAAATAATCAGGAAGCGAAAGGTCGGTGGCCATTAGAAAAAATGTCTAAATCTAATGCTTATCTCATTTTGATTTGATCATATTTCAGGCTTAGTTTTAACCAAAAAAATATTATATATACTTATTTTACTCGAAGATCACATCAGTTAATACTCGTCATAAGGCAACTTTACCTATAACGCCTCGTTAACTACTTTTAAGCCAAAACTTAGGCAACTCATGTTTGACAACAAGGGCTGAACTCTACCGAAATAGGAACACTTATTCTATTTAGAATTTTTCTTTTCAAATTTGCTTGTTTGTACATATTTCTTTATATAGGGTGTTTTCTAATTGAATGTCGAATTCAATGTCAAAAAGGACGTTTCACATGAACACATGTCCAAACTTTTGAGATACAGGGTGGTAAAGTTTTTAAAAATAAAATGTATTTCTTTCAGATCTGCAATACCACTTTAAGAGGCATTGTTTAGTCTACCACGTTTTTTTTAAACATGCACCAGAGGCGGACGTACAGAATTAATAATAATAATAATAATATTTATTTAAATCAAAACTTATTGTAATGTAAACATTAAATAAATATTAATACAAAAAAAAACACTTATATTCAAGGTATACTAAGTTAAATATTTGCCAGCCATCCTTGAACATAACGCAGATTAATTGAACTATCTATTTTATAATATGAAAAGAAAAAAAAAACATAATATTATACCAAAAAAAAGGGAAACGATTTTATATAATTACAATATATTATTGAATCTGCGAATTTCACTTAGAATAAATATACACTTAGAAACTTAGACCAGTACAAAAGTAATTTTTTTTTCCAACAGATAAATGCGTTTTTTGTAAAGTTAAATTTTCTCCGAGTTTGTTTCATACTTTTTGAACCAGTAAGTTATTTTTTATTAAGAACCAAAGGGATGATTTATAATATGATTTTTTTATGTGAAGTATTTGAAATTAAGTAAAAATTAACTCGCAGATTCAAATGAAATATAATTTTCAAAATTCTTTTCTGCATTACGTAAAGAGACTGAAGAGTTGTGTGATAGGCAGCACCCCAACCAATTATTCCGTAAGATATAAGTGATTATACCAGTGAAAAATGAGTAGAAATAAGTAATTTCCAAGAAGTAATTTCCACCTGTCTATTTTGGCAGAAATTATTATTATATTATATTATATTATTATATTATTCTTAAAATCGGCAATCGTTCCTAAAGAAATTTAACTTCTTGATTTTTTTCAAGGTTTTCGCTTGAAAAAATAAAAACCTCCCCTTTAATGACAACATGCAGAGAAATTAGTTTTTATTTTTAAGCGACCGAACAAAAAAAAATAAAAGATCAAATCTGCTCACTGGTTAAATCGGGAACTTTTTTTTGTAAGACGAGATATCTAGTTTCCAGTTACCAACTAGTATCCTCCACGAAAAAAAACTATTAGTTTTCTTTTACTAGTTCTTTTTCCTTTACGATTCTTATTTAAAAAAAAAAAAAACACTACCTACTATTAATAATTTTGAACAAAATTGTCTGTTAATCAATTAATAAGTATTAAGTATTAAGTATACCTTCAGTGTTTCTTATTAAATCGCAGGAAGCTCTTATAGAATCATTCAGCTCTACCGCGATGTTAATTGGGGTGCAATAAACCAAACTTTTACGATGCCATCATAAGAAGAAGTCCAAAATATTTAAACATTCTCTTCCTGCAACACTAAAGTGAGCAGGTACTTCCTCTAGCAATATTGGCAAATCTTCATCTAAAAAAAAAGTAATTTCCAATAATTCCAGCCCAAACATTTACGAAAAACTGTTCTTGATGTTTAAATTCTACAACTGCATGGCGGTTTTCATCGGCCCAAATATGGTTATTGTACACACCGGTCTAGCGGGCGTGAAGCGTCACTTCACCACGTCAGATTTTACCGCACGGGTTTGGGATCAATCGGATGTTTTCGGAGATAGTTCCCACGTTTTGAGTTTTGACGTTTGTCAATTCTGACGGTTGTGTCAGTGAATGTATTCCTGATGTTTTGCGAAAATCTACCCAAAAACTAACGGTCGTGGAAAAAGTGTAGTGTGCAACTCGTGAGTCAAATGCCGTTTTCCGCACTTGTTGCATAATATACTTTTTTCTACTCTCGCTTGTAAAATACCTAATTACGCACGGATCAAGTGTGCGGGAAGCGTCACTTTACCACGTCAGTTACGTTTCTCACGAATCCTAGCCACTTCGGACATTTCCGGGATTTTACCGCTCGGGCTTGGGAGCAGTCGGATGTTTTCGGAGATATTTCCCACGCTTTGAATTTTGACGTTTGTCAATTTTGACAATCATGTCAGTGAATGTATTCGTGTTGTTTTGCGAAAATGGACTAATGGTCGTAGAGAATACTATATTATGCAACAATTGCGGTAAACGACATTTGACTCACGAGTTTATTTGGCACTAGCGGAACGCAGCGGAGCGAGTGTTCAATAAATGAGTGATTTAAAAAGTTTACCCAACGTGTTGCATACTATACTTTTTCTAGTACCGTTAGTTTTTGGGTACATTTTCGCAAATCAAGACGAATACATACCACTGACATGGCCGTCAGAATTCAAAGCGTGAGAAGCGTGGGAAATAGCTCCGAAAACCCTTTTAGACACTCACAATCTAGGTATTAATAAGAACAACCGATTAACTCTATTATTTCGGAATCCCTAATATTTAGGTCTAGGAATATGACATACAATTTGAATGGGGTTTTAACGTTCTTTCGGAATAGTTTGCAAAATATTGAAAAAAGTTTTTTTTTTTTACTTTTGTTGCCACCGGCATAATAGGACATTTTGAGCGCCACTGTATATTACGGCACGAAACCTTCGTAAACCACAGCCAAAATTCCAGCGCCCTATATTAATCAATATATATTTTAAATTTGAAAACGCCCAAAGTCAAATCCGATTCGTTCCATAGGCGCGCGTCCTGATGTTTCCCGAAGGGACAAGGAACTTGGGCAACAAAAAGCTGTTGCCCTTCAAGAAGGGCGCTTTTCATTTGGCCGTGAGCAGCGGGTGCCCCATTCAGCCGGTCGCGGTGTCCAGGTACCGGTTTTTGGGCCCCCTGAGATTCGACAGCGGTGAGTTTTTTCGAAAACGTCCATTTATTTTTCCCCACTTTTTCCTATACTTACTATGCGAGAAAATTATTTTCATAATTCGATGATTATCGGTCGTATAGGAAAATTAGCGCTGGGCAATTTAGTGTTGTTTATGAATATTTTGCAGACATTTTTTTACTGCGTTATTAATTAATCAGTCAATTATCAAAGTTGCGAAATTACAAACAGAAACATATTACTTACTATTGCGTTACTATTTTTTTAGCCACCAAAAGTTACGTAGTTTTACACTGACAATAAATTAATTATTGATTAATTTCGACATTTTATCATACATTTTTTCAGTTCGGTCAACTCGGTATTTCGAGGTTATGTTTGACTCTTTTTAACGGCTTTTATTCAAAGTAGTATTTGGTTTAAACCCCAGTCACTCATCATCGAAAGACGGTAAGGAAAATAGAGATAAAGGGGGGTTAAAATTGATAAAAAGGGAGTTTAGGAAGTGCTCTGAACGGTTTCAACTGTTTTTATAAGGATGTCGAAAGAAAGTTTTGATAAAATAATATATATATATATATATATATATATATATATATATATATATATATATATATATATATATATATATATATATATATGTATATTGGGACAGACTATATGAAGAAAAAGTGCTCTGTCCATTTTTCCGTGTTTACTTTTTGGTGGCGATAAAGCTTGGATTAAAATAGAGGTCGCCGATCTGGAGCATTTAAGTCTGGATATGAAAAGACATAAAATTTCATAAATATACTGAAACAACGAAAGCGTGTCAAAGATATATTTTATCAAAAATTATTAATTGTATTAAATTTTGGGGAGCTTTTGAACTGGCTCTTCGGGGACGTAATGAGAGCGAAACTCTGAGTGAGTACCTACACAATTCTTCTAGTTCAGAATAATCTGTTACAGTGCATGCTTTAAGTTTGTCATAAATAAATAGTTGAGTTGAGTTCAGTTGATTTTATTTGTTTTGCTTTGATTATTTTCAATTAATTTACCCAAAGAGTTATTAGTTTTAAAAGCTATTTCTAAATTTTATTTCACTTGGAAGTTGGACGGACACTTTTTCACTGGAGTTTCAAAAATATATATTTAGGGAACAGTTTTTTGATTATTAAGAAGATTATTTTTAAAAAAGGTCTTCTTCTTTTTTCCTCCAATATAAAGGAAAATGTTGCCCCAAGTTGCATTCCAAGAACTAATGCTAAACAGTTGTGTACCCTTTTGTTCTTTTTCTTGCAATTTGTAGTTCTAAACTGCATTGAATATCTCGCTTTGTTGTGGAAGTCTTTTATATAAAAACCACACTTTTAAGACTCATAAAAAATAAAGTTTAATTTTCAAGTTTTAAAATCCTAGCAGGTAAAATAGAGCTACTATGAAAATTACCTGTGATTTTTTATGTGTTGTATTGTTTGTTCCCACTGCTGATTCATTATTATTAATCTAATGATGACATGTTTGTATCCATTAGAAGATCATCATATTTTTTATATAAAAACTTAATTTACCTCATAAATTCTCATTTATATAATCAAATTAAACAAAATCGACACTTCTTTGGTTAATGTTTTAATTTGAATTTATATGACTCGAGCGCCATCTACCTCAAGATTTATGAAATATGTGGTGACGCATTTTGAAAGTGTCTCATCTGTGAGCACTGTTTACAAACGTGGAGTTGATGAAATAGCGCAAAAAGTTTATGTGATTTTAGAACTCAAATTTATCTTATGTTAGTACCATGGACAAATGAGTCACTACCGTGGAACGGAAAATTTGAAATTTGTTTCTCGTTCTTGACGCTTTGAAGCCGTTTTAAAATTCATTCAAGCTTTTATTTTTACAGTAAAATAGATGAGGAGTAGGCATAAATAAATATAAATGTAAAATGTATTTTATAATGTAACTACTGTATGTTTAACCCCATAGGGCATTTGTGGAACCAAGTAAAATAAAAGGCAGGGTTATAAAATTGATAAAAAAATATAATTAATAACATACCAATTGAGAATTGCAATAATTCAGTATAGCCTATTAAAAATATTGAGGACGTTTACATTTCGGTGCAAAACAACATAAATCGTATTGTAATTAATCTCAATGATTTAATTTATTAATTTAATAAGATTATATCCATTTATATAAGGAAAAAAATATATATTATTACCAAAGCCTTCGAGAGCCCGTCGCTAATGTTCTGTCCTTTAAGACCTACCGGACTCTAACTTCCATAATTGCGGACAAAAGCCAGCACGATGAAAACGGAGACAGACTATACTTTCTTTCTCATTTGGCGACATTTTGCCATAAAATAGTAAGTTAAGGTTATGAACTTTCTTGGTCAACGTCGACTTATACAACAAAATGGAATCCTACGACTCGTTTCTACGCACACAAAATTTTCGTACAAACAAAAAGGTCAATTCGTTTGACCCCGCGGAATTTGGTCCATAGAGATAAAGCGAGATATCGCGGACAAAGGTTAAGTGGGCTTAATAGATTCCGGCTATATCTTTTTGATCGACTTGCGCGTATCGTGATTTAATTTACGAGTGATGTTTCCGAAGTTCTGGAGCTATAATTTTTATTATTTTTTAAAATTTTAGTCAATAATTTGGTTCTACACAGTCTCCATTTTTGTAAGACGTCGCCAAAAAACTTTTTCGGTTCAGTTAAACTTTAAACTGCATCTTCCATGCCACGAAAACGCTTCTTTATCAGTCAAACTCCTAGATTAGACAATTACGAGAACTTTTGAAACATCCCTCGTAATTCGGTTGTTGTTTGATGCAGGATCTATTAAAATCAAGATTCTGCCGTCCATCGACACCAAAGGCCTTACCAAAGACGACATTCCCAAGTTGATAGATGAAACGTACGCTGCACTGTCCGAAAGCGTTGATCTATTGTCCGCCGATGACGCTGCGAGCGCTACCACTTAAAACGGGACAAAGATTGACTAGTTTCAGACTGATCGGTTAAATTATTGTTACCCCTATATATTATTTATTCTTTATTTCTAAATAATAAACGCTTTTTGTTTTTTTTTTTTTCACATTTTCTTACTTAAAAAAATATTCTACGCAACTTATCTTGTTTTAGCTCTTTCTGAAATAAACTCTGAAGAAATCATTAACAAATAATGATTGAATAATTGATTTCTACATTGATATTTCAATACATTAAACTAAATAAGGTAAGTATTAAAATATGAACTTTAGAGGATAGAAAAAGAATTTATTGGTGTATTCAATACACTCAGATTTTTATTTATACATTTATGTCCACTTAATATTAAATTCGATGTAATATGGACGTCCAACTAACAAAATGGACATCTAAAAAGAACTCGTATTAAGTCCAGAAAAGATCCTTAATCAGCATATTCCGCACACATGCATGTATACAAGTACATAGAGGATAGAAGGTTTTCAATTTCTTAATGTAATATGATATTAATATTATTAATAATTTATTTTGTTTTAGCTCTTTTTGAAATAACCTGCAGAAATCATTAACAAATATTGATTGAACATTTGATATCTCTATTGAAATTTAAATTTATTAAACTAATTGAAGGTTTTGTTTTTTTTATATGGAAAGTTATTTTTTTTCTTTTTTTTTCTGTTCATTTGCTTAACTCTAAAGTACCTCTTTCTCATTCATATAAGTAGTGAAAGATTAACTTTATAGGATAGAAAAGGAACTTCTTGGTGTATTCAATACACTCAGATTTTTATTTATACATTTATGTTCACTTAAAATTAAATTTAACATAATATGGTTGTCCAACTAACAAGATGGACATCAAAAAAGCGTCCATATTAAGTCCGCAGATAATTGATAGCAATCAAGGTACGTTTCTTCTCTTGCCATATGCCGCCATAATATGGACGTCCACCTAACAAAATGGACATCCAAAAAACGTCCGTGTTAAGTCCACGGATGTCCACATCCATAGCGTATTCCGTACACAATCATGGACATACATATGCGCAGGTACAATACATACCATGTATATGTTGAATCTCTATGAATGGCCAAGGATCAATACTATATGCTGTGTTAATGAACAAATGTCGATGTAATTGTACAGTAATAAAAGTTAATTTAATTTTTTTAATTTGTATCACTTATTTCATATGTTTACATCTGGAAAATTAGTTAAATGGTTTGTTTTTATCGTCAGTGGCATTGGTTGCGGATTGGACGTTGGAAGTTGGTACGCGTAAGAAGCTTATATAAAAACATTAATTTCTTCTGTAATGCTAATGCTGTAATGGCTCTGAAGAAGCCAACAGGATGATTGGCGAAAAGTCAGCAAATTCGACTCAGCAAAAACCGACGCAGGGGGAATCCAGAAGTTTGATAAAAATATATTGCTTATTAAATCAACAATAGAAATAAAAAAAAAAAACACATTGTACTTTGGGTATCGGGGATATAGCAACGAATATAAAGATTAGATAAGGGCGAATTATCAAGCCGACCTCTGATGGCGTGAGTGTAATTTTTGTGGCATATAAGCTTCAATTTGGACTATATGAACTTATCAAATTAAGAATGTTACTATGAGCTGTTTTAACCCAGTTTTCAACCCTGTCAACCAAATAGGCTGAAAGTTTATCGGCATTTAGTCATCTACGAACCGCCATGTTTTCCATAACCTCACTAAAAATAACTAAATATTGAAGTGTCAAAACGGCAAGTTACCGGAGAAAATTAGGCAATGTTAAATAAGCCAAAACTACTACTCTCAAAACAATTGTTTCTAAAGTTTCATAAACTCTTATAATTTTATAAGACAGTTCGAAATAAAAACACTTTTAATTGGATTGGAGGGTTTATAAAACTCCAGGGAATCCTTCAAAGAAATGCAAATTTTGATACTCACAAGAGTAATAAACATAAGTTTATACCGCCGTCTAAAAAGGTGTCAAAATATTCCCGAGTAGTCAATAAAACTTTTTAAAGTTCTTCCGGAAGATATTAAAACCTTGGAAGTTCAACAATTTAAACAAACTCTAAAAATGCTCATAACTGATAAAACAGTTTACAGCATTAATGAATTTTTGCAGTGTGATTTCTAATGTTTGTTATTAAAATTGTAAAGGTACGTATTCTAATGTAATGTAAACTCCAATTGATTATTACCTTTTTCTCATTGACGTATGTAAATGCTTTTCTATACCATGACATGAATAAATCGATTGATTGAACTAGGTGGGAGCTACACATTTGACATTTTTAAATAAGTGGGATCGAGTGGGCGGCGTCTCAGCACATTGCCGTTGACAGACGATTACGTCACTGAAGTTTTCGCTTACGCTTTGTTTTCTTTTTAGGGAAATTTTAAACGGGTGCCACAAAGGTCTTAAATCTTACATAGCATAAGCAGAACATTTAAGTGGCGCAGCCGGAACGGATTTGCGGTAGCGGTGGTCAATTAGCTGAAGTTTCTATAAAATCGGCAATTGTAGAAAATTGTTTTTTGGAAACATCGACACGTGGATTGTCAAATCCTTATTCAGCACACAGAACCATCAAAAGAAGAAACTCCACAATGAAAGTTTCGATCTCTTTTAAAAGTCAATTTCAACGAAATCTATCAATGAAGGGACTTAAGAGGAATTATAGGTCCATGGTACTAGGTAATGAAGAAACGAACACATTCCGGATAATTGTTGTTTTTTAAAAAATCACTTTTCTAATTTTAGTTTTCATTAAAAAGGGAGAAGCTCTTCTTTATATAAAAAAAGACGAAAATCGATAGATAACTTAAGACGCTCTTAATTATTCCAACATTTGTGTCAGCTAGTTGAATAAAAACTTAATTCCGCTTTGCTTTGAAAATAAGTGTGTTTAAACTCGCTTTTCTTCAATCGGAACGTTGAAGTGGCGCAGTCGGAATGGATTTCTAATTGCGGGAGCGGTGGTACAATTAATGAATCGTCAATTCACGGGAGTTTCAAATCTTTTGGACACTTCTCTACGTTGATTTTCAGATGCTTATTTAGCATACAGAACTCTAAGCAATTTACTTTTGCAAAGAAGCAGCTTATACCCGCGATTTGTTGCGTACAAAACATATTCGACCACATTGGGATAGAAAATGTTCCAATCACAAAGGTAATTGAGTAGAAGTAACGAAGATAATATTTATTAACATAAAAAAAATAAGTTCAACGCAAATGGAAAACTAATACCAGCATAAATTGATGTATCTAGTAAAACAAAATTGAAAATAAAAATTATAAAAAGAAACGGGGTAAGTGCCTTTGAATATATCAACAATATGTTTTAACAAAATGATGTTAAAAATTATGTATTTTAGAGCTTGTTAACAATAAAAATTAGGCTTACCACAAACGTGAAACAAAATACACGATATAGCTTTGGAAAATTACATGTTTAAAAATAATTACCTATATTTAAAAAAAAATCTCTTTATAACCTTTGCTTGTAGCCGATTCTTGTTACAGATATTTTGTTTTCTGATTGAAGTGTAAGTGGTTCAGCATTCAGCAAATCTCTTACAGTTTTATCCTTCTTCAGAGCATTGCTTTCAGATCATTTTTGCGATTCTGAAATTACAGTTTTTTTTTTCACATTTGTAGGATTATGATTATGACTATTCTGCTAATTTTAAACTTTGTAGTTTTTAGAACTAGGCGGTCTTATATCCAAAAATTCAAAATTGGCCATAGTGATCACGAATGGTGGGTTGTACCTTGCTGATTGAATGATGATGGTCAGATCATCTGGTATAAAGAATGTCATGACTCTTTTGCGTTTTTCTATTAACGCAAAAGCTATTAATTAAATGCGAATCGAATAACCAGTATTGATCGAGATATGAGAAAACTGCGAAACATAAATGAACGAAGAATTTTTCAAAAGATCAATCTGGACAACCCCAGTTAAGGGACGCACATCTAGCCCTTCAAGAATCAATTTCAACGAAATCTACCAGGGATTTAAGGGGAAAGAATAGTTCCTATGGTACCAGTGTAACAATCACTGTCCCAATTTTAGTTTTCATTCTCTTTGTGATGAAAATCCAAAAAAAAAAAAAACGCCACCGAACCAGAGGAAAACCGCCCAGTAGACGAGTCTGAAGTTACGTTCTTAATTTTATTATTCCACACCATAAAGAAAATAAAAAAAGGGAGCTGTCAAACCTCATTCATATAGGACCGGTACAGGTTTCTGGATTATCGACAGTTCAGTGGGGGCAATTTTGAATATAAAATTTGCAGATGCAAAGCTGCATTATTGTACATATCATTTTTCTATTGCAAAATGGAAAGTAGCAACAAAGGTAAATAAGCTTTGGAATATTTAGAATTTTTATATTAAAAATTCCACAATTATGTAAAAAAACAAAATATACTTATAAACAAAAATTCTTATGCAACTTGTATATTTTCCGGATATGGAAGTAGGAAAGAAATGTGACCGCCAACTTGAAGTTAAATCCCTCTGGTTTGCTTGTTTTATCTAAAATTATTTTTAATTATGACTAAGTATATAGAAACACGTAATTAAACTATCACGCTATAACATATTCTAGTATTTTTATTTGAACCTTTCCTCGTTCTTCTTGTTAATTTCTTGATAGGAAAACAATGTTTAATCCAGGTTATTCATAGTTGTTTTAATTTGCTACAACTGCCAACGATGCGATATAAGACATAAAACTTGAATATAATGCAAAATTCAATATTATATGTGCTTGTGCTTGGAAATATCAATAAAAACTAAATATAGCATTCTCTAATAGAGTATTGTTTTGATAGTTTTTATTTTGGATTAGTTTCTTCAGCTTGACACTGTGTGGCGCCAACAATCAATTTTTCTAATCTTCTCTATGTTCCACGCCATTTTTTGGGATTTAAAAAACAAACAAAAAATTTCAAAATATACTTTATTGTGTATTAAAGGACTCCGCGTCATACTCAATAAATACTATTAAATCCATACGAAACTTAATCATATAAGGCAACGTTACAAAACGATAAATACTACAGATAAACCGGTGTGGATAACAAACTATTAAAAAACCCTCTACGTTAACAACTAAGCGAATATTATTACAATCCGGACCGGAATTTAAGAAAAACAAAAAGTGGTCGCTGGTCCTATCGCCCCCCCACCCCCCGTACCCTAAAAAACTTATTTTCCCGGCCGCTAGGGGCGCCAGGGATTCCATCATTCTTTGGTTAAAAATTTGACCCCGAAATACAAGAAATTCGTTTTTCACCATCGCGCTACTTTGACGCGAACGTCTTCCTCGCGGTGAAGCTGTCGCCACGTCTGTCGTGTATTCTCGCGTGTCTCACCAGCTTGTCCTTACGTCCGAAACTCTTGTGACACTTCGGACACTTGAAAGGCTTCACGCCGGTATGGGTCGCGACGTGTCTGTCCAACTCGCGTTTCCGTATGAACGACTTGTTGCATATGTGACAGCCGAAAGGACGGACGCCGGTGTGCCTTCATTGAAACAAATTCGTTTTTGGGGAACTCGTACTATACCAGATATCAAAACCGACAATCGGTTTGAGGGCAACAATAGGATGCCACTTGGTGCATCCAATGTTTCGTTTTGAACCTTGGGCGACAATTAAGAGATTGTCGGACTTCCATTGCCTTTAATTTATTGTGAAACAGATAACGTTTCGTGTAGGATCTGCCTGCCTGCAGCTTTGCATCTGCTTATTAGTAAATCTAAAGTCTGCCAATAGTCGTTCTTGTCGTGTCCAAATAATGGGTAGGATATCTCATTTATTCTTTCGAGCATTTTAAGCATATTTTCATTTTAAGATAAGATAATTTAGATTTTAAAAAAATCCTAAGATCAGGACTTCCACCAACGATTAAAAGGGAAGAGAAGGAGTTTCTGTGGGTGGCTTTGCTCGTGACAGGTCGATTCTTGTATGCTGCCCACAGAATCCGGGTTTTTCGATATTTAAATTATGTTTTCGGCCGACTTCGGTGGATGGTGTCTCGATATTATCCTCTAATCATCCCGGGGTGTCACTATTTTCCCCACACACGCCGGTAACTACTCCGGAGTTCCGTGAGGAACGTGAAATTGGTCAGTTGGTGACCAACACGAATCATTAACCTTATTTGCATCAAAGTTTTAACATGGTTGCAAGCTGACTGATTTGCCTTATGTGGCAGTGCAAATGAAGATAGTTATAGAAAAAAACACAGCATTAGTTATGAGTTAAAAACTGTTGTTCAACTTTCGAAACCATACATTTTACGAGTTTAGCGCCAAAATTTCCCGGCCTGACATAGATGCAGCTCCAGTATGTATCACGATAAAACTTTCTCTTGTTTTAAACATATATCTTAGTAGGCTGCGAAAAAAAAATGAAGTCTTGCGTCAAATAGTTTTTTATTGACAGCATTTTAAACAAGACGTGTCCGAAAAAATGTCGCAAATAACGCAAATTGAGTATAGGGCAGTCATAAAGTTTTTGACAAAAGAAGGGTTAGCACCTAAAATAATTAAAGAAAGGCTGAATGCTGTGTACGGCCAAAGTTCTCCTTCGTATTCTCTGGTGAAAGAATGAGCAAAACGTTTTCGAATGGGGCAGGAGTCCCTTGAAGATGATTCAAAAACTGATCGACCAGTGGAGGTCACAACGGAAGATATTGTTGCGATTGCGGAAGAGGTGGTATTGAGTAATCGACGTTTAAAGGTCAAGGAAATCTCAGAAACTACTCGAATTACGGCGAATCCTGCAGGATCATTTAGGAATGCATAAGGTTAGTGCAAGATGGGTTCCTAAAAACCTTTCGGCTATTCAAAAACAACGCAGTGTCGAGTGCGCGCGGTCTTTTTTGGAACTCTGTGGGTCGGAACTGAAGCCTGTGATAGAGACTATTGTGACGGGAGATGATACTATGGTTCTCTATTATGCCCCTTTATCGAAAAAATAATCAATTAAGTGGCGTCGTAAGGTTGAAGCACCTCCAAGAAAATTCAGAGTCTGCCAGTCGACAAAAAAGGTAATGGCCACGACCTTTTGGGATTGTGAAGGAATTCTTTTGATAAATTTTAAAGAAACTGATACCACTGTCAATGGTAAATATTATGCAACATTATTACATAAATTGCGAGACTGCATACGTGTAAAACGTCGAGGAAACTGACCAGAGGTGTGCGTCTTTTGCACGGTAGTTGGTGTTGCACAAGCTGCCACTTTAGAGTGTGGGTTCCAACAGATAGATCATCTTCCCTATAGTCCAGATATGGCCCCCAACGACTATTATTTGTTTGGATATTTGAAAAAGGACTTACGTGGACGGCGGTTTAACGACGAAGTTGAGTTAAAAGAGGCTGTTTTAGCTCATTTTGCAGACCAACCGAAAGAATATTTTTTTAAAGGGATTGAGTTGTTAATAAAGAGATGTAATAAGCGTATTGGTGTTAAGGGGGATTATATTGAAAATTATAATAAAAAATTGTTACTCTACTTTGTTTCTTTCATATTCAGGCCCGGAAATTTTGACGCTGCCCTCGTATACCGATTCGTTCTTACCGTTGTGTTGCCCTCAAACCTGAACGTTCACATTATGTCATGAAATTGTTTTTGCACATAAAACGCAGAACACTTTTTAATTCAACACCGAAGAATTAATTTTTTTATTAAACTTTAACTGTTGTACTTCTTGGTTTTCTTATAAAGCTCTAAAAGGTATGGCTTCTTATAAACCCCTGATAACTATCCGTTACCTTGTCCAGTCAGAGCAATGGTGTAGCTACGTCATAGCAAAATGCTTAATTTAACGGATAAAAAATTCCAGGAACACGCTTTTAACCTTAAACGCCGTACACAAGTATTTACTCTCTTCATACTGGAAACCATCTCAATTTTATGAACAAGCAATTATGTATAAGTATTCATCGAATGAATTTCATTTAAAATATGGTTTAAGCAACAAGGAAGCTTCAAGGATCGACTATAAATTTGACCGACAAGTCTTTAATTATAACAAAACTACGGCTACAAAACTTGGCTATAAAGAAACATTATTAAAAAAAAAACATTTTTAGAGTTGCTTAGTTGATAGTGTGAAATCATGTCATGTGACCTAGGTGGCCAAAGGCCAAATATTCGTGAAGGAAGTATGTTTTCAATTATTCTTTTTTTTCTATTTTTCAATTGTAATTTTTGTTTGTACCACCATTATTATTATTATTATTTGTTACAGTACCCCAAATTGTCTACCCTCAATTGTACCCCAATGGGTTTCACTTTGTTATATACAATTGAGGAAAAAAAAATCACCCCCACGGAAAATATAAGTAAATAATAATTTCTTATTGTGTGATTCAATGATATTTTTCTTGTATTATTAGACGAAAAAAAAAAGGTTTCAATTTTATATAATCAGTTCTTCTAAAAGCGAAAAATCCGAGAGTCTATAGAAATCTATAAACAACCTAACAATCTTAACCGCGACTCAGGTCTCTACCTGTCACCAATTTGGGAATCAGTCACCCGAGACGGTGTTTACAGAGCAAAATACGAGCCAGTTTCAGTCAAGCTCTGAAGAAGCCAACTGAATGATTGGCGAAACGTCTGCAATTTCGACTCAGCAAAAACTGACGCAGGAGGAACCCAGAAGTTTTGTAAAACGTGAGCAGAGGCTTCTTGGGCATTGAGAGGTATTGGCTCTTTTTGCTCATACAACGCTTTCTTTATTTTTGTTGCTCTTTCAGGACACTTTGTGGATTCCTTTAATACTACGGAGAGATCTTTTTTACCCGTACGTTTTGCAGCAATACCAGCTGCATGAATAATTAGCTTGGAGTGGTGTTTGTTCGATTTAGCTAAGTTTAGAGCATCTCTTCTTAGGTTTTATTCAAAAGGTAAATACTTTCGACCGGATGAAGAATTTGGAAAAATATTATTGAACTTTTAGAAGTCTGCGGCTTTTCAAATTGTGTACATTTTTCAATCCAATTCTTGTATTGAACAGAAAAGATTGTTTTGCATCTGGACGAAAATACTAGTACTTTTTTTCTCAAGTACGATTTTGACACATCAGGAAAGTCAAATTTACTTTAAAAAAAAATTCATAATTTTAGTAGGTTTCGCTAAAATACTTTTTTTTTTCGGAGAACCATACTTCAAAAATTTGTTCATTTTGCAGTCGATACTCGACTAAAACAAACCACGTTTTATTAGCAAAGTCGAGGCAGATTTGGAACTCTTGATTTTTCACAAGGTTTGTCCTTTTAAAAATGACTTAATTTAACTGACCTGTGAAGCTTAGTAAATAAACGGTTCATGCTTTATACTACGTGATACTGGAGCTAAAGGTGAGAATTTCAAAGTCGGCCGCCATCTTAAGGTCTTAAATCGCGGCTACTTTTTAAACTTGTTTCGCCACTATTCACCGGCCTTGATTTATTTTTATTATAAAATTTAAAAGAATTTAATTTGCACCAACAAATTCGTGGAACTGGATCGAAAAACGGTATCTCAATAAATTGAAATATATTTACTAAATACTGCGTTGGACTTGTTAAGAACCGTGGTTTATTAAAATTTACAAATAACCTGACATTTTTCTTAAAAGCATAAACATTACCACCACCGACGCCATCTTGAAATTCATAATGGCGTTCGTTTTTTTTTTACCAAGTGGGGGGGCTTAGTCATTCAGTGTTTGATTTATAAAAATCGGTCAAAAAATAAAAGTTATTAAAAAAAATATTTTTTTGGTTTTTATGGTCCACTCGGCATCGGTAGTAAAAATACGCCTAAAACGTGTTTATGCAAGTTTAAGCAAAAATATACTGCATGCTGTTTAGGGTCATGCTCCAATTCACCGTAAAATGTTACTTAAATATCAATGAATTGCAATCATTTTTTTATAGTTCTAACTGAAAAGAAATATCGAAGATTTTAAACCCTGTTTAGTTTTTTTAGCTATAAATGGGTAGATACCTAATTATTTTGAACGATGTGTGGCATATTTTGTGTAACTTACCCTGAGTATTGTTATCCATTGCAAAAAGGCTTCACTTCAAAAAGTATTTAATCACGCCGCTTAATTAAAATGACGCTAAATTGTCACGAAAAACAAGTGTTTTCTTTGACAGGCAAAGTTGAGTTTAGGCCAATGCCACGCATGGCCTGCTGGATTATTTCGTCTGTTTTAAAAACTAAACGATTAAATGGGTACTTGACAATGTGTATGTATTGTTTTAATGGCCAAAATACCACCTTGAAAATTTCCTTTAATGGCCAAAATTAATTAAATCCATCCTAAAGTGCGCTGATTTACATGATGACTTACGGCCTTGCAAAACAGACTTATTTTGCATACCCGATCGTATCTACTTCAAAACTAATGAATTAATTAAAATCGGAAGGTAGCAATATAGCTAAGACATACGAATCAATATTGATTGCGTCGCTGTATGTGACGTCACTGCACGACTGCTCCGACTAGAGTTTAATAGAACCTTCACGTCGGTCGGGTTAAAGCCTAACTCGGCTGGCTTACCTCGCCTGGTGGTACTTCAGGTTGTCCGGCGTAGAAAACTTTTTCGGGCACTGCGCGCATTTGTACGGCCTGGGGTCCCGGTTGACGTGCGCGCCATCTTCGGGGTTCTCCTCGCCGGTTACGTGACGTCTCTCGCCCTCCTCGAAACTCGACTCCTCGACGGACAGCTCGTCCTTGACGTAGTCGTCGATGATGTGCTTGGGCTCGTGCTCGATGGACCGGTGCTCGGCGCCGTAGTCGTTGTGGTGGAACGGGTCCAGATCGATCACCATGTTCTCCTCGGTTTTGCGGTCGTCGTCGCCGTTGTTGGCCGGCGTAGCGGCGTAGTTATACTCTCCGAGGTCGAGGTTTTCGCGCATCATCTGGAGTTCGCGCGACTTGTCCTCCGCGTTCTGCTGCGGCCAGTGGCGTTTCTCGTGACGCAGCAGTTTGTCTTTGCGACCGAACGACAGGTGGCAGTAGTTGCACCTTGATTACAAAAATGTTGTTTTGCACAGCGGTTCATAATTTTGCGCGAAAAAAAAAAATACGACACCGATCGAACACAAAACGCACTTGCTTCGCCGTCGTGTCACTTTCGAAAAACCGATGAAGTCGAATTTTTCGAAAGTATACGCGCTTGGCAACGAAACATATCTTGGCAACAGGAGGTCCTAGGGGACGGAAATGATCAGCGTCGAAAAAAAAACTTGTTTTTTGTCTGTTGTCTGGGGTCGTAAAGTATTAAAAAAAAAATAAAAATCGCGCTTGCAAGGGTTTAAGAAAAAAATTATTTCTCGAAAACGGTTAACGCGACGGAAAAAATTCTGGAATTCAAAGACGCAGAAGATTTGGATGCATAAACTTTTATTCTTGACAATTTTTCAAAAATGTACAATGCAAATTGTAAATTAAAAAAAAAACTGGTCCCCCTATTATTGAAAATTGTTTATAACTAAAGGACTGTCTTTCAAATATCAGCTAAAAAACAGCTAAAACTTTTGAATTTAAGGTTTTCACCTATTGTACAGGGTGTTCGCAATATTAAGAAACGTAATAGGTGCCCTAAACTTGCAGCTAACGACTTCAGATTTGGCAGAGAAGTAGAAGTTCAGTCCCATATTAAAAAAAAAAATTGTTTTTTTTTTGTTATTTTGGCTTTCAGAAAAACATGTTTTTCTCCATAACCATTCACCCGATCGGCAAAATTCTTCAACTGGCAGACGCGGAGGATCCAGTGCTATAACATTTATTTGAAGCATTTTTTCGATTATATACAGGGTTTTTCAATTATAGGCAAAAATTGAAAAGACTTTGAAAATTGTAAATTATTAATCGCAAATCAAAAATCATAAAAAAATATGGCTAATCAGTTCAAACAGTGTTATAGGCCGCATCGCGCTGCTCAAGAAAATTGAAAAAATCCATATAAAAATCCCTATTTCGAAGGCTGTCAAGACGATCCAGGGCTATAATCTCCATTTCCGGATTTTTTAAAATTATGTTCAGGATGTGCCCATTATGGGTAAAAATATCTAAAAGACCCTGAAAATTGCCATCTTCGTTTGTAAATTACTATAAAATTTGTAAAAATTTGGTAGAAACAGTTTCGTAAATTGTGAGGAGAGAGAGTTTCAGGTTTCGTCTATCATACAGGGTGCGCGAGATACTTGGAATATTATAATTGGAAATCGTTATTTCTTGTACAATCTTTTATATTTATCAAAGTTTGTCGTTATTTTGAAATTCAGCGATAAGTAAAAGACGCTTTATACAGGGTGTGTAATGCACGACAGAGACAGACCACGGAAAAGGAATTGTTATAATTATTCTATTGTATTAAGTTACGACATCGATCGGTAGATTTGCTTATACCTTGAATTGAGTATTGAATGAAATATCTCGCATTCAAATCAAATTTATGTATTACTCGTACAACCCGATATGTAGCACCTATAGCTAAATATTATACTAACTAAAACAAAAAACAGAACATATTATAGACACAACAAAAATTCCGTTTATGGTTTACGACTTGCAATTGGCAACAAAAAGCATTGAAATGATTCGGTCCTTTTCGAAATCGGTCACTGATTGATTCGGTTCTCGTAAAATGAACGATTGACACAATACTAGTTCCGAGCTTCCGACCAATCGGAATGGACCGTTCCGTCTGACAGTTCGACGAATCAGAACGATTCACACATACAGCGTACATTGTAAAAAAGTGAAATGTGCATCAGTTACCTTTTTTAATTTTGAAATTTTATTGAACAATAATAATAATGGCTTTATTCAGCTAAGAGATCAGCGGTATTCAACATAGTTGCTTATGCAACTACCCGATACATCGGAGTTATGAGAAAAAAAAACGAACAAAAATATGTATACATATTACAGGGCTGAAAATTGTCACATACCTTACTATAGATAACTTTTTTATTTCAAAAATAACTGTCAGCCTTTTATATGGCGCTTATCAACATGGAAAAGGCGCAAAAAATTCTATCCAATACATGTTATAAAATGATAATGATATAAGAATATTTCATAAAAAACAGTTTTTTAATAGAGCTGTAAATTGGGTCACGGTTCTTTGACAATACCATAAGATAATTTTATAACAGCATTGAATACGTTTCATTTAAAAACAATCTGTGATGTATGGGACTTTAAAAACTTAGCAATGACATTTTCATTTTGTAAGAATAACGAAAAAAAGTATTTGTATTTCAATACGATAATGATGTCGACAAAAATGATTTGCTAAATGCTCTTGTGATGCTTCCCTGAGTGACTTGCTTGAGGAAGTTCACAGGCTTTTGCTTAATTATACGCATATATTTGTAACTTAAACTTTAATGCCCTTTGAATTTTGCCTATTTTTACAAAATTTGAAAATAAATGTATACTATTTAAAAAAAAAATGTTTCTAATAAAATTAAAAAATATCAAATCCAATGTTAAACACTCGAGACTTTTAATAGACTTCATTGATATTGTGATTTTTCCCATTTATGACAATACGGTTGCCTCAAATCTGACGTTCATTTCGATTTCAACAATTATTTTAATACAGTCATGATACTTTTATTAAAGTGGTCTTGAACGCCAAAAAGTCGCAATATGCAAATTGTTTTAAAGGTAAATCTCCAGAACAACTATAAAATTTTGTTATAAAGCTCATACAAAAAATGAATTTTTATTTTTATAAATTCATTTTAAGACAATTATAAAATAAGTTTAGCTCAAGCATAAATAGTTTTATTCATCTACCACCATCTTTAAACACATTTGATTTTAACTTGAATTTCGAATTCATTTCAATTTCAGTATTTTGATTAGATTTTTCTTTTGTTGAACTGAGGTGGCTTTATTTTATCAAAATAAATAAGAATTAAAAGTTCAGATTTTCACGAAATTATATATTATGACATTTGATAAAGACACGGTGTTGTCGAAACAATTGTCATGTCATAATATATAATTTCGTGAAAATCTGAACGTTTAGTTCTTATTTATTTTGATTTTTCTTTTGGTTTACTTTGAGTTAGATTTTTGTTGAAATATTGATTCAGCTAGCAGTGAATAAAAGGATTAAAGATTTTCTAAAATATTTTCATTGACTACCAAAATCAATCTATCAATAAAAAAAACTAACCAGAAAATAACCAATCAAAAGTCAAGCAAGCCTATATACAAATCTAGTGCACAGACAAATCACGCGAAGGGGATAGTTGCGTTGTTTTTATTCAATGGTTGTGACAATTAGCTGATTGGCAAACTCACCTAAAAGGTTTCTGCCCTGTGTGGATCATAGCGTGCCGATTGAGGTCACCCTTTGACGTAAAAGTCCTCGGACATTTTTGACAGACGAATGGTTTGGTTCCTGAATGAATCCGCATGTGCTTGGACAGATTCGTGTTTCGCGAAAACGATTTGAAACATACTGAACACGTGTAAGGTTTGACACCTGAAACGAAGTGTTATTTACAAAATTTCTCGAAATAAACTACCTGAAAATTATATCTAAAATGTCGGGGAAAAGTTTAATTAATACCAAAATTGTTGGGTTTATTGTGCAGATATAATATTGCATATTTAGTGACCAGGCAAAAAGGAATAGTACATCAAACGTCCTCTCATGCTAAAAAAAACAACACATTATAGTTGTTTTTTTTTACATTAAAATCAGAATAAGCCATAGATTAAATTGTCACTTAGTTGGCCATGCATCATCATGGAGTCACGTCAACGCCACTTCTTTAATTGAATATTATTGTTCAAAATTCGATGTTTTCACTGGACCGAATATACAGAGAAATAACCAAAATAACTTTCAAGAGCATTTATACATTATTTTTAAGAAACATAACTTTGCGGAGACAAGCTAGGCGGTGCGTTTTAAATCCTGATGAAGAAATAAATACTTTTATATTACTTACGTAGGTTTGTTAAACAGCTTGTATAGGCGAATGGAAATAAGTCGGCGTTTATATCTTTCTATATTTATCTTTTTTTTTTAATACAAGGATCTCGGACCTTATAGCAGATATGAAAAAGTGTAAATGGAATGGCGGGTTTGTAAGTTTTACTCAAAACAAGTTTAAGTTTTTCAAAAAAAATTGTCAACAGTGAGTTGATATTAGAAAAAATGATCATACACCCTTGTAAAATATGGCAATGACGGCTGACGACGGTCTTATTTTCGGCTACAATTAACATTTGAGCAGCAAAATTACAATTCTTTGTCCATTTAAAGTCTTTCATGTATTATAGTTTCCAAGATCCCACAACATAACAAAAAGAATTCACCCTGTATACAAGGTTAATATTTTCAACATTTCGTAAAGTGAAATTTTTACACAACTGTCATAATTGAACACAAGATATGGTCTTGGCCAGAATGATTCATGGTCAACTAAGTAATGAGTTTATTTGTGGCTATACTGTCCAAGATTCCAGGACTAGACATAACAAAAAGAAATCACTCTGTATACAAGGTTACTATTTCGTCAAGTGAAAATGTTATTCTTGTATGGAATTTTGAACAATAATATTCAAGATAGGCCACAACTGTCACAATTAAACAAAAGACATGGCCTTTACCTAGATAATGACTTTATTTGTGGCTATACTTTCCAAGATCCCTGGACTAAACATAACAAAAAAATTCACCTTGTATGCAAGGATAATAGTTGGAATATTTCGTCCAGTAACATTCAAAACAACTGGTCATAATGACACATGGCAAGCAAAGTGACGAGTTTATTTGTGGCTAATTCTAGCCTTAACGTAAAAAATTGGAGCTGTGAATTTAAGAAAATATAACTTTATAAATATAAAGGTTAAATAAGCAATTTGGAGGAGGTAGCACTACTAACCGGTATGTACGATGGTATGTTTTCTCAAATCCGACCTCCTGGCGAATGTCCTGTCGCACTGAGGGCAATTATAAGGCTTGTCGTTCTTGTGGACGCTCTTCATGTGGGCAGAATACAGCAAACGGTCAGCGAAATCCATGCTGCAGCTTGAGCAATTGTACGGTTGGTCCGAATTGTGGGCGTTGCTCTCGTGCTCCATGCACTCCAGCTTATCCGTAAAGGCGTGATCGCAAAACTTGCACATGCACACGTTCTTGCCATCGAGTTCGTTCGTTTCGTTATCACTTTGCCTGTCGTTATCCGATTCATAATCCGATTCGTAATCCAAAGTATTGGGATCCACCACCTAAAAACACCAGTATAATAATAACCGAAACGCATAGCGCAAATAATGCCAGGGACCATAATAACATTGTCGTCAGCTCCGTTAGAGAGATGTTCGTAAAGCGGCAAATGTGGCTGCGGCGGCGTCTCAGATCCGTTGTCTTTGTCGATACCGTTGAGCTGACGCAACGTGGCGTCCGATATGAAACACAGCTGACGAAACTCCAAGCAAAACTCGATTTTGAACAGGCATCTGTGGCATATAACGTTAGGAAGCCCGTCGCCCTGATGGACCTACAAACGTTTAGATTTCGAATTTAGCGCCGCGCATTGACAAACGTCACATGTCGTTCAATTGTTACGAGTCGGTTCCCAACCGTTTAAAGGGTCCCGAAATTTCCCTGCACTTATTTTCGTTCGGCTGCGTTTTTTCGATTTTTCTTTTACGCGAAATTAATTGCTGCAGCTAATATGCGGATTAAAATTAGAGCGGCCGCGATCACATGGCTAATTTCGCTGTGACAGCGTGCGGCGTTGTCGCGCGCGCGATGAAATGCGATTTTTTACAAACGACTTCGGCGTGTGGCCATCGCCAAAACATCTGGCGAATTTGTAGTTTGATAAGCAAAATTATCGTGGTCGAAACAGCGACCACATGGTTTGAACGTCGAAGAAATTCGAGACCCGACCCAGCCGACTCGGCAACGTCGCGGCACCACGGCGGACGAAAATATCAAACATGGCCGCCCAGGCCGCGAATCCAAATAAAAATAAGCAGAAAATATTATGTGTTGTCGCGACAAAGTGGCAGTAAAACGAACATGGGCTACTAAACCGAAATACCGAAGTAAGTCCATAACATCCCGTTTTAGCGTACGTCGCGGCTGCCCGTGTAAATTAACAAACGTCAAAATACGTCTTACCGACAAAGCCGTGCAGTCTATAATTTTCTTCGAAATGCTCTTGTCCTTTCCCTGGATATTGTTGAAAATGCCGAGCATGAAGCCATCTTTCTGCAGGCACAGTCGGCACGTGGTTGCGTAACTCCTCCAGGCGTCGTTAATAACCGATCCTCCGTCGTTTGCTGCTTCCATATTTTTATATTATTTATTCCCAAACGGATCACTAAATAGGCGCGTCTGATCACGTACAAGTTATCCGCTCCCCGGCAACGTGTGCTAGAAGCGTGTGTTTGTGTGTGGGGCGCCGTCTCGATGGCGTAAATGGGACTGAGGCCGGACGAAGGGCGGTTATTTAGACTTGCGCGTGGCCCCCTTCAGTTGGAGGCTCCCGACCGAACGACACCAACGTGTACAGCTGTCGATTTGGCGGTCCGTTTAAATTTCTACCTGCGGGGCCATAAGCTCGCCGGCGTTTAATGACAACGAGCGTTGACATTGTTGTCCCGTTTTAATTCGATCTACCATTTTGATTTCAATGTACAATCGCATATGGCTGATGCGGCTTTTAATTCGCGGTGTAATACGTTTGTGAGGGTCGTCGATTTCGCATCAGATTCGTGCGATTTTACCGTTGAAAGTTGCTTTTAAAATTTACCATTCCGTCGGAACGTCGAAATAGTAGCCTTAAGAATGCGTATCGCGATCTTTTTCGCAATTAAAACGTTTCGAACACCATTAAAATTCCATAGGCGTAGAGAGCTTTTTTTCGGAACCCCGAGTTTTCGGAGTTTTTTTTTTTTTTGGTTCGATTCCCAAAACGTAATTTGCTTGGAAATATGGGGACTTTCGTAACGCAGCTAAAATACAGTGCGTCTGACTTTATTTAAAACATAATGTTTTTATTTATAACTATGTTGTGTAGTTTTGATGCGCATTGTAGTAAATATTGTACATTTAATGTATGTAAATTAAAAGAAAAACAAGTAAATTACATATTTTTCCTTTTAATTGACAGTAATAAAAAATTGTAAGTATACAGATTAGATACTGTACTAGTAATTTAACAAAAAATTTGTTTATTCACGTAGACGCCCTCTTAATAGATAAAAAAAAATGTAGGGCACCAATGACCAGCATGTTCACCGGACTTTAGTCATCTGGATTTCTTTTTTTTGGAGTTTATGAAAGATTTGGTTTATGCGGTTCCTTGCGAATCATTTGAGATAGCGTATTTGGGACGCTTGTGTAGAATTTAAATAAAAATCCAATATTTTTCAAAAATTTCTTATTTCAGTTATTAAAATTGAAGAAGGCGCCTGGACATTTCATGTAAATTTGTTACGTATTATTAAAGTACCTAATTTTTATATTTACGGATTTCTTTGTTGTTTTCAATTAAAATAAAAAATGTACTATTTGCGAGTGGCCATTTTTTATTTAGGAATTAATTAATGCACATAATATCTCAATAAATAGAATTGTCATCAGAAATGCACCTTAGAAAAAAAAAAAACGATTATTAAACGAAATAAGTTTTAAATCATAGGCGCACGTCTATAAAATTTTAGGTACAAAACTGCCCATTTTTCTGCTAGTGTGCAGTTTTTCTCTACAAAATTATAACCCAAAATACGTGCAAGATTTGTACCCAAAAATATTGTTTTTTAAATAAACTTCAACGTCCTGAAACCGGTCGGGTTAGTGAATATTTTCACGCCTTAGCGGGTTGACCCATCTTTTCGATTCGCCCTGTATTATAAAGGAAATTTTATTTAATTCTTTACTGTGATGTGCCCCACCAGATGAGTTACAACTGGTTACATTTTGAGCGTAGAGCTGTGTTTTCATCTGACATCTAACTGGGATTTAAGTAAGTTTGGGGGAACACTGTTGTACGTATCAAAATAATTAATTAGTTGTGTCTAAAATTCTAGAAGTAGTCCATCTCCCAAAGTAGAGTACGGGTTGTTTCTTTTGCCTTTCGTTATGCCCGCATATGTCTCAATAATTTATTATTTGAAGATATTAATAATTAGCCGATCATTTTAAGTAACTTAAATCGTTTTGTTTGGCGGCGAGAACAAATACGAAATTGTTGGATTGCATTACTTGCGTCGAAAATAATCCTTTCCCGCGAGAGCGGTCTAAAAAATAAAGCACCAAAACATAGATAACCTCTGACGCAGATACAGACGAGCTGGTCAGATTGTTTGCTCGAAAACAGGGCGGGTTTGGAGAAACGCGAGAAAAGAAACAATCCGTTTAGTGGAACTGCATCGTAAAAGCATTAGGCGTATTAAAGACGGCGATAAAAATATTTGCCGATCCTATTGTTTTACCGTAACTTTGTATGCGTTGGTACCGCATTTTATTTTATATTTATATCCCCCGCAACACCGAATCGACGCGTGCCTCTATTGAAACGTTTTGAAGAATCGCTTATTATTTTGTGCGAGAATGACAAAAGTTTTATTTTGTCTTTTGCTATTCTCATTCTGCTGGAATTAAAACTGTTTCATAAGCTGTCCTTTTAACTTGTTCACCACCACAGATATCGTCGATCAAGTTTCGCTTCTTCTGTTACTCGTTATCCATCACCCAGAAATATGTATTTTTACATTCAAAAGTTCGCCACCAATGTAGCGAATAATTCTTCTACTATAGTCTGCAGCTCTGTAGTTTTTGCTGGTCCTTACACCATTTTTGCTCTTGGAGTTGACCCTTAGGTCGTCCTGTCCTGTCGGCACCACCACAGATATCGGCGGTCTCTTTCTATGCTTTTATTACAGGTTGTGTATTGCCCAGAAATATTGTGATCTCTTTTACTAGAGTCTAAAGCTTTGTGTTTGAAATTCATTAAAACTTTTTTGTTTTTCGGACGATAAAAAAAAATTGACTCATAGGTTGCCCTTTCAGGTGGTTCGCCACCACAGATCAGATTCCCGTCTTCAGTTACCAGAAATATATACTGTTTGCGTGATAAAGACTGGCTCGTTGTTCTACTATAGGCTACAATTCTATATTTGCAAGTCGATTCTCTGGTATTGCTCATTTACTCTGCCAATTTTATTATACTGGATAACGTAATTGCCCTAGGGGATAGAGTTTTTATGGGCAGTTTTGAAGTTATCACTAATATTAAACAAACGAACTAACTGCTGGCGTTAAAATTGACTTACTGACTTCCGCTTTATGTGGTTCATCACCACAGATATAAACTTGCGTGCATAGAAATCGGCCCACTGTAAATTTTTGACTTTTTTTTTTCTAGAAACTGTTCATCTGGCCCAAAAAATAAACATGCTAATTGGAAGACAATTTCTAAGAGTTTAAATTTGTCAAGAGTGCTGATCTTTTATATGCGCAGCTGCGGTTAAAGAAATGAAACATGTTCATACAGTAGTTACAGTGATAGTAACAAACTTGTTATAGACTTAAATTAATTGCCTTTGCAACTGAAATTTTCATATTATTCGTTCTTCGCTTTAATCTAAAGTGGACTTCGCCAGCGAGCTGTTGTTCGACAACTGGATGTGACACTCGCAGCAGTTCGGTGAGTGTACCACCGGTATGACTAGACTGGATTCTTTGCTAGGCGCTAGGCGAATTACCATGGCTCGTCACCTTAACACGGTTCAAGTTCAACAACAGCTCCATGAAGTTCGAAGAGTGGCTATTAGTCACTGGACAGTGAGAAGAAGACTGAAGGAAAATAACCTGTCCCCAAAAACAACTGAAATTGGTACAAAACTTACTCCAGCTCATCGACGCTTTGCATGGGATCATCTGAATTGCAAATTGAACCAGTGGGGGTCTGTTCTGTTCTCAGATGAGACCACAATATGCCTTTTTGGTAGTGATCGACGAAAAGAAGTATACCGAAGACCAGGAAGATTTGCAGAATGCCACAATGAAGAGCAGAGCCCTTATGGAGGTGGATCCTGCATGATATGGGGTGCAATTTCTATGGACGCACGAACCGACCCTGTTTTCATCCGTAGGGGCGGCCGTGGTCAAGGGACAGGAGGTTTAACAGGTTGCTAGGTACATCGAGGATATTTTATGAGATCATGCGGTACCATATGTCTACTACATTGGAGAAGCATTCATTTTTCGAGTTATGGAGTGACCAGCATGCAGTCCTGACCTCCATCCGATCGAACATTTATGGGATGAACTACAACCGGGAATTCGAGTTAGACTTCGTACCCCAACCTCCATCACAGAGCTAATTGTTGCAGTAGAGGAAGAGTGACTTAACATTCCACAAGAAACAATAGCGAACTTGATTAGATCTATGCCTAATCGAGTAAGAGATGTTATAACCCTAATTGTTTTTAGTAATAAAAAGAAGCCAATTTGACTCCTGCAGTTATTTTACTATGCTAAACTTGAAAAGCATAAATAAATTTAAATTAATTTAAACTCGTATTAAAGCATATTAAATTGTCTTTCAAACAACATCTTTTTTTGATCTGATCAGTAGTTTCTAAAAAAGAAAATGAAATCGAAGTCAAAAGTTCACAATTGGCCGATTTCTATGCACGCAACTTTATGTATTCTGTGCATCCGAAGACTTAAGTAGCGAACTCTTCTACTACAGTCTGCAGGAGGGACGGAAATGATCATGCTCACATGTTGCTCTAGTTAAAATTGACTCATAGGCCGTCTTATAATATAGTTCATCACCACAGGTCGATCTCTTCCCTTAGCTAGTTCCAGATGATGATTACGATATGATATTTCAATTTATGTCTGACGGCACGTTTCTTTGCAGGTGATGCCGAAATACCGAGATGTCCAATCGTTGAAGAGTCTATCGCTGAAGGGCGTCGGCTCTTTGGTGGTCTTCATGGCGCCGCGTATCGTCGCGAAACTGAAACAGCACAGCGACGCCGCCCTTATCAAATCCGACCTGCAACGAATCATAGACTCGCTCAAACGCGAACTAGTCTCGTACGTTCCCGACTATTTGTACGACTCGATGGCTGTGGAAGTGTTAAAGTCCGTCAAAGCTCTGATCGAAAAAACGAAAAAGACGTACTACCCGCACATATCGATGTCTCATTTCCTGACCGAAATGAACGTCGTGGTCAGCTTGGCGGAAGTAGTGCTCGACGCCCAGCTGCGCAACATCGATTTCTCCGAATGGCCGAAAATCATGCGCTACGTCCTCTACAAAAACCTAGACAAGCTCACGGGGTTGGAGAACCTCAACCTCGGCTCGTGCACGGCGAGTTGGAAAACCAGCGAGCACGACAACAACATCCTGAGCGGGATAAGGGTGATGAAACACCTGCGCTCTCTATGTCTCTGTTTCGATTGTACGGACCTGGTGATCCAGGCGGTCGGCGAGAATTGCCCACATATCAAATTCCTCGACGTCACTTGCTCCAGGTCGGTGACCGATAGGAGTATACCGCATCTGCTCAAATGCAGGGAGCTGACGGTACTCCAGCTCCATCAGACGTCGGTCACGAAGACAGGGATCGCTCAGCTCATCGCCGGCCTGCCTAAACTCGAAGACGTCGGCCGTTGCGATGAACTGGGACATATCATCAAACACCTGTATCAGAATTTCGGCAGCTGCGGCCCTTTCACGCTGCGCAAGATCCAAACCAGGGACTTGTCGACCGAGAACCTGCGGCTCGCGGTCGACATGTTCCCGAACGTCGAACAGGTGTCGCTGTTTCACGACGAGCAAATCTCCGATCTGACCGTGCTCATTTCTTTGGATCGCCTGCGCGACTTGAAGCTCCTCTCTTGCGCGTTCTACTCCGACTATCTGAAGCAGCTGCTCGAGATACGTGGCTCCAATTTGACTAGCCTCCATTTGGAGCACGCGGAAGAGATGAACTTCAACGCGCTGCTCGACATCAGCCAGTGTTGTCCGCAGATCAAGAGTTTGGTGTTTTACAATTGCGACTTTACGTTCAGCTCGAACCAGACGCCGCGAAAGCTGAAAGTGGCGCCGTTCCAGAAGCTCGAGAAGTTGTTTTGGGTGGTGGACAGCGCCACCAATAACTTGGAGTTTATTTTATCCCAGGCGGTAAACATCAAGAGGATCCATCTGGGCTCGTCCACGGGGATAACGCATTCGAGCATCGTGAGCATCTTGAACGTGAACCCCATGAAGCAGCTCGAGGAGTTTAGGGTGTTGTACAGCAGCGACATGAACATGAGGACGGTCGAGTTGTTGCTGGCGAGCTGTACCAACCTGAGGGTGCTCTCGGAGCTGGAAAGCTGGCAGGGTATCAGCGTCGAGGAGCTAAAGCAATTTAAGAAGTGCGTCTGCGCAAGTAATTTCGATCTGGACGTCAGACCTACGTTGTCGTTCTCGAACTGACGTCGTTGTGATATTAATCCGTTTCCTTTTTAGGCGTGTTTGGTTTGTTTTTTTTATTATTGTCGTTATATTTAGGCCCCACTACTTGTTTGTTCATAGTGATACTAGTTTTTACGGCCGGTCGATATTCCTGGAGGATCTGTATGGCGTGTACACGCGAAATATATTTTTACCGAAGATGTCTGGTTAGTTTCAATTGTTTTTAACGTCTCTGGGTATTTCAGAGGCTTTTTATGATCTTTGGGTGAAAGACGTTACTTTTATTGCCCTTTATTGATAAAGAGTGAAGATATAAAATAAGTATAAAAGTGCCCTAGAGACACACTCGAAACTAAACCTGTAGTATAATATCAATCATTAAGTTTTCTCTGCATTCCATTCAAAACATTGTTAAGACCTAGGTTCACTAGCGAATTTTAATCTGGCAAATAGTCAAAAGTGGACGTGTTTCCCTGAAATGTTAAATTCTAAATTTATATTAAAAACGGAAAATTGGTATTCTCCAGGGCGTGACTATTGATGGAATGGTGAAAAAGGCGTGATGAGGAGATAAAGGTTTGATTTTTTTTTTGGTAATATCTAACCAATAATTATGGAGGACATTAACCAACTAATTGCGAATATTATTAAAGCTGATAGTTGGTAATATATATCTTTCAACTAATTGAAATCAATAGTCTGTCTCCATCTTCATCGAGCTGACTTTTACCCACATAAATAAAATAAAACTCGGGTCCGGTAGGTAGCAAAGGGCAGAACATCAGGGACGGACTCTCATGTTTTGGTAGTAATACAATTTTGTCCATTTGTTTAGGTGAGTTTAACCTTATTAAGTTATTTAAAACAGTATGCCCAGCCTGATCAGTCAAATTATCGTATACATACTGTTTTTTAATTGCATATGAATTTAGAACTTCCATAAGTTCCGCTTGTTGTAACTAAATTCAAAATAAATATCACTTTCTAACAAATATTCCTGGATTTCAGTTTTTGAACTTGAATATTGAATATCCTTGTATCCTCACGATAATCGAAGCTGGAACCTTTAATATTCTTTGCAGACAACAGCAAACAGTTTGGGACAAATCAGTCTTCTGACCCAGCTTGTATTATGTTTATGCGTTTTTTCTTCATTTGAAGGTGATTTTTCGTCTGACAGTTTTGAGTGGAATCAACCCATCCATCATTTCATATCTTTTAATTTCTTGAAGATAATTAAATCTCCAAATGCCTAATGTGTGTGATTCCATGACTACTTGTCTTTTACATATTTTGCGGTACTTAAATCCCATTTTACAAAAAACTCTATGGAGGGTGATTTCATCTTCTAGCTTCTTTTCCATTTTTTCCAGATTTTTCTTATATTTTTGTCAAGATTGTCAAGATCGAGAGAGACTATGATGATGAGCAAATAGGTCATTAGCAAGACCTATATTTTTTCTGCGCAGTTATTCTATTCTCCACTTCCTTGTAAGTTGTAAGTTAAATTCTGGGCTTTAGTAGTGCCCAGCTCGCATTACTAGACGTCTGAATTTGAGAGCTCTTTGATGCTTATAACTAACATTGATTTGATTTATTTTTATATCTTTCTCAGCATGTATTTTTATGTAAATGCTATAAGCAATAAATTTAATATTATTTTATATTTTCGAGGTTAAATGTTTGATGTTTTCAAGGATAAGTTGGAAAAGTATTTTGTACAGTAACAGTAAAAAGTTTATATATACCTAAACACGTTTCCGAATATGTGATATATGTGATTTTTAGGTCTAGTTTCAATAGTAAAATAGGAGAATCAATTACGTAATCAATAATCAATTTATGGAGCAGCTGAAACATGTTGAATAATTATTGTAGTGTAATATATATATATATATATATATATATATATATATATATATATATATATATATATATATATATATATATATATATATATATATATATATATATATATATATATATATATATATATATATATATATATATATATATATATATTCTCACGTATTGATTCACGGATGGAAAAATGTGATGACACTATATTCCGGGATATCATCCGTTCGCTCGTTGAACTCCGACTGGAATCCTGCATCCGACTGGAATCCTGCAGACGTTTCGCCAAAATCTCACTTGGCATCTTCAATGCTCGCGCTCCGAAAACACTTCGAGTGTTCGGATGCAGGATTCCAGTCGGAGTTCAACGAGCGAACGGATGATATCCCGGAATATAGTGTCATATATATATATATATATATATATATATATATATATATATATATATATATATATATATATATATATATATATATATATATATATATATATATATATATATATATATATATATATATATATATATATATATTCACGTATTGATTCACGGATGGAAAAATGTGATGACACTATATTCTGGGATATCATCCGTTCGCTTGTTGAACTCTGGCTGGAATCCTGCAGACGTTTCGCCAAAATCTCACTTGGCATCTTCAATGCTCGCGCTCCGAACACTGGTCGGATGCAGGATTCCAGTCGGAGTTCAACAAGCGAACGGATGATATCCCGGAATATAGTGTCATCATATATATATATATATATATATATATATATATATATATATATATATATATATATATATATATATATATATATATATATATATATATATATATATGTATATATATATATATATATATATATATATATATATATATATATATATATATATATATATATATATATATATATATATATATATATAAAAGTTGTAGGGCCAATAAGAATTTAAAAATACATAGAAAAATTTCCAAGGAGTGAATTTCGGAAATCTGGTAAGTATATTATGGCAATGGTGAACAAAATAAATGATAAGCAATATAGTCTTGAAAACTGACAGCAAAGAAAACAAAAGTTCAAGTGATAATGGTAATTAAAAATTTTAAAAATATTGCTGAAATCAAGAAAACTAATACAGTTTTGAAAAGTGACTAGAACGAACAAAATAAATTACTTCATATAAAAAAATGATCAATCAATGACGTTCACCAAAGGATTGAAATGAGAAAAGCCATGTTTACCTCACTTATTGGACATTTCTGAAAGTTTAACATGAAAACACTATTTTCCTTTTAATAAGTATATATTAATAAAATATATAAATAAACAAAAAAAATTACAGTTCTTGTTATTTCTAGAATAGATCAGAATCTATTAAGATATAAAAATATTAAAACAGTATTAGCGACTCACAAAAATATAAAATATATTTTTGTATTGTTTAAAATTGTAGACGTACATAAAATCGTTCTTATTACAATAACAATTGAAATTCGCCCGACAGATGTATTTTGTTCGTTTACTTTAAACTCATAAGTTGAAAAATCAAGTAGGATATGCAAGGAAAGGACAAATTTAATTATTGTGACAAAATAGTCGATAAAAATAAAATTTCAACACTCTGTCTAAATATTGAAGAAGCTTCCTAAAATATTGTTACCGAAATTTTCCTATTAACGATGGTATAATTGTCAGACTTATCACGTGTTTCATCCCACAACAATATGTGTTCGACTCTTTTGCCTTTCTGCGCCATGTTACTCGTACTGCGCAGCTTAACGTTCCACGAACGTGCACGTACTGAATTTCCCAAATAGCTAGCTTAAAGACGGATAGTGTTCGGCAGTCGAACAATAGTGGTTCAACAACAATTTCTGCGATCTTATCTCGGACGCCTTTTTGAGAATCGCTGATTATTTCGTATGTTTAAGTTTTTATTAACGAAACAATGAAAATGAACCCGCGTGGGTAAATATATTTTGTCCGCTACCTTCGTCGATCAGTATCAAGTGAGATGTGCCATCCGAAGGCGACATGCGTTTGATGCTTTTGAGTGCTTGTATACTGGTACTCCTCGTGCCCGTGACTAAGGTAAATCGACCACGGTGACCCCCAACTAACCAATACTAAACCCACATTAAAGGAAAACTATAATACGACTAAAGGGTAGGCTTTAAAATTTTTGAAAAATGTGACATATACGTATATAATCTATAATTTCTAATAAGTAAGCAAATTTGAATTTCGCAAAAATACGATTGACATTTTACATTCGCAATCAATGATCGTTGAATACCAAGTAAATATTGTTGCGAAGTAGCAAAAGATTCCTGCAATGCAGTTCCGATGCTAAAGGCATCATTATTAAATTACAATTACAGTTTAAAGATATTGTGAAAATGCTATATGCATTCGTAGTAATACTATATTCGTTAGTTGTTGCTGCGAGACTTCTATTTGTTCAATAATTACAGTTTGAATTTATTAAAATTAATGAAATTAATTAAAAAATAAGTATATTACAGCAAATGTGGTGAGATTATAAGAGACATAAATATTGCTGTTTGATTTCGCAATATTTCAAATTAAAATTTAAATTCGCAATCGCAATTGCTATAGATGATTTTTAAATTATTAAAAAAATGCTTTATGAACAGTCAATTTTTAATTGTATCTGTAGTAATAACTCACAATGATCGTTGGATATTTAGTAAAATGTCTTTGCGCACTGGAAAAACCACCAGCATGATATGCAATGCAGTTCTCGCTGCTGGAAACATTATTTGCTCAATAATGCCGAATACAGAAAAATCTTCTATCCTGTCGTCTGTCTTTCCAGAGAAGTATATTCATTAAAATATAACAATATTATTGCATGTTTGGTGATTAATGTTCTTATGCAATTTCTGTTAAATTAAGAGAATACAATAAGTAATAAAATTACATTTTACGGTCGCAATGAAACTCGCAATCGTTCATGTCGCAAAAAATTTCATTCAATTTTTAATTGGATTTGTAATAATATTTTTGCTTATCATCTGCAAAATGGTGCTACGCATAGCTTTTGCATTCAGTTTCCGCTGCTGCGAACATTCGTCTTGAGAACTAAATTTAATTGAAGAAATATAATTTTCAATTTGATACAACCGAACTATGATTACATGCGGAGATTCTTATTTAGGGGCTCTTATCAGAAGGAACATTATGCACTCGAAATTTTGATAAACAGGCCGATAGGAATTTTCTTCGAAATCCAAAATTAAGTTAAAAGTGCAGATATTGACTTAAGTTATAGCGCCATTGTTTTCTACGTAATCGGGGCCGACCTGATCCTCGAGTCAACAAACTATTTGTGGTGGTTTAATGGAAAACAATGGGCCCACATGGGGGATTTTATTAAAACGTGACGATCCGCTACCGATCTTGGTTCGTTCTGGTATTGTTTTAATTATAGTGCTCATTCCCATCAAGCCCATAATTGGTATATAATTTTGCTTGGTTTTTACACCGAACTATTTGGGAACCATATTAATTTTCAGTTAATACTTCAACGAATAAAATTAGTAGCTGAAGAGCCTTGCGAGTGACTGAAATAGTATAACAACTGAAAAGCCTTGCGAATGAAATCATTTATTAACTGAAAAACCTTGCGAATGAAATAATTTACCTAAAAAGTCTTCCAAATTTTTTCATTACTTGATTGCTAAGTGATAATTGAATTTTCCTAATAATCTGACAATCAATTGCGAGTGCATGATTAATTTAATAACTGACAGGACTTAAAACCGATCTATGAACTGAATATGCTGCCGACTGAATGAACTCTTCAATAACTGAAAAGCATTAGGAATGAATGAAATGGTGGAATGAAAAGCCTTTGAAATAAAGTAATGTGTTGATTGCTTATTTTACCTAATTATTCGTGGCGAGTGAACAATTTATTTAATAAATGAAAAGCATTTCAAATAAATGAATTCGCTGCTTGCATACTTAAAAGAGTTCCCAATAAATTGAAATATTTAAAAATTAAATTTGAATAATATCTGAGACTCCATTGGGAGTGAATGATTTATTCAATACCTGATAGATCTGACAATTCACAAAGTTACTTAATAAATGAAAAAAGAATAAATTAATTGATCTATCCAATATGTAAATTCAATAAATTGAACTGTTTCAAAACTGAAATACCTTGCGACCGAACAGAATCATTTAATAAATGAAAAGCCTTTCAAATAAATGAATTTGCTGCTTGCATACTTTACCTAATATCTTAAAAGAGTTGCGACTAAGTTTAGTTAAATTCTTAATAATTAAATTTGCCTAATAGTTGAGAATCCATGGCGAGTTAATTTATTTAATAATACACATGCCTTGCGAATTCGCTATTTAATTTAATAAATAAAATATGAATTTGACTTAGCCGAAAATGCTTGCAGCCGTTTCAGTCTCGACAGTTAGTTGCATATTCCAGATCTAAGTTTCAGTTTTGCGAATCACTTGGTGAAAGTAAGCAACCTTGGCGGCGTGGAGAATTAAAAACTCGGTATTTATTCTTTATATTAATTTATCGGATTTATTTTGTGTTTCAGGCATGTGGACAGTGTGAAAGGAGCACATACAGAATCATCGACTGCTACGGAAAGTACTTTCACTGTATCAACGAAACGTTCTTTTACCAATGCGCAAATTATGGTCCGGTAACTTTGGCGATAACTAACCAGCAACAACAGGAATGCCCTCCCGGTTTGGTGTGCAGCGACGGCAACGATTTCGAATGCGTCGAACCGGACGAGGTCATCCCGACCACGGAATGTCCGACAACCGCACCTCAGGGCGGAATTTCATCCCGCTCGACGGATATACCGATAGAAACGACCCAACCTTCGGGCGCGGCGACAAGAAACAACTCGGCATCTGCTCAAACTACCCCCGAAACTACGACGCGAAACATAGATACGACAACCAGTGTGGTCGTCATTACGACTGGAAGCAGTTTTGGCACGGAAACCACAATCGAAATAACTACACCCGGTACGACTCCAGGACCCGTTTCCGGTGAAACGACCATCGGAGTTCAATCTACGACCGGCGCTGCTCCGATAACAACCACCGAAGAAGCAAGACCAACAACCCCCGAAGAGTCGCTTCCAAATGAAACCACTTCACCTGCGGAACCGACAACCACTGAAGGATCGTCCTCCAGCGAAATTACTATTGGTGAAACCACCCACACCGTGGAAAAGATATCTACACAAGAATCTTCAAAGCAAACTACTTCTGGTGGTGAAACAACGACAAATGCGACACCAGCAAAAACAACTCACGACGAAGAACCAACAACAATCGAAGCCAGTTCAGAACTCATCACTACCGAAGGGTCCGCTTCAAGTGATACAACTCCTACTAGTGAAATCACGACAACCGCCGCACCCACAAAAACAACCCAGAGCGAACAACCAACAACAACCGAAGCGGGCTCAGAGGCTACAACTATCGAAGGGTCCGCTTCAAGTGATACCACTCCAACTCAAAGCGAAGAATCAACAACAATCGAAGCTAACTCAGAAGCTACAACTACCGAAGAATCCGCTTCAAGTGATACCACTCCAGCTAGGGAAGTCACGTCAACTGCGGCACCAACACAAACAACACAAGGCGAAGAATCAACAACAACCGAAACGGGCTCAGAGGCTACAACTACCGAAGGGTCCGCTTCAAGTGGTACCACTCCAGCTGGTGAAGTCACGTCAACGACGGTACCAACACAATCAACCCGGGGCGAAGAATCAACAACAACTGAAGCCAGTTCAGAAGCGACAACCACTGATTGGTCTGCTTCAAGTGATACCACTACGGCTAGTGCAGTCACGACAACCGCAGTACCAACAAAAACAACTCAGGGTGAAGAATCAACAACAACCGAAGCCAACTCCGAAGCTACAGCTACTGAAGGATCAGCTTCAAGTGATACCACTGCTGCTAGTGAAGTCACGTCAACTGCGACACAAACAACCCAAGGCGAAAAATCAACAACAACTGAAGTCAACTCAGAAGCTACAACTACCGAAAGCCCCACTTCAAGTGGTACCACTCCAGCCAGTGAAGTTACGTCAACTGCGGAACCAACACAAACAACCCAAGGCGAAGAATCAACAACAACCGAAACGGGCTCAGAGGCTACAACTAGCGAAGGGGCCGCTTCAAGTGATACAACTCCAGCTGGAGAAGTCACGTCAACTGCGGCACCAACACAAACAACCCAAGGCGAAGAATCAACAACTGAAGTCAACTCAGAAGCTACAACTATCGAAGGGTCAACTTCAAATGGTACCACTCTAGCCAGTGAAGTCACGTCAACTGCGGCACCAACACAAACAACCCAAGGCGAAGAAACAACAACAACCGAAACGGGCTCAGAGGCTACAACTAGAGAAGGGGCCGCTTCAAGTGGTACCACTCCAGCTGGTGAAGTCACGTCAACGACGGTACCAACACAGACAACCCAGGGCCAAGAATCAACAACAACTGAAGCCAGTTCAGAAGCGACAACCACTGATTGGTCCGCTTCAAGTGATACCACTACGGCTAGTGCAGTCACGACAACCGCAGTACCAACAAAAACAACCCAGGGTGAAGAATCAACGACAACCGAAGCCAACTCACAAGCTACAACTACCGAAGGATCAGCTTCTAGTAATACCACTCCTGTTAGTGAAGTCACGTCAACTGCGACACCAACACAAACAACCCAAGGCGAAGAATCAACAACAACTGAAGTCAACTCAGAAGCTACAACTACCGAAGGGCCCACTTCAAGTGGTACCACTCCAGTCAGTGAAGTCACGTCAACGGCGGCACCAACACAAACAACCCAAGGCGAAGAATCAACAACAACCGAAACGGGCTCAGAGGCTACAACTAGCGAAGGGGCCACTTCAAGTGATACCACTCCAGCTGGTGAAGTCACGTCAACGACGGTACCAACACAGACAACCCAGGGCGAAGAATCAACAACAACTGAAGCCAGTTCAGAAGCGACAACCACTGATTGGTCCGCTTCAAGTGATACCACTACGGCTAGTGCAGTCACGACAACCGCAGTACCAACAAAAACAACCCAGGGTGAAGAATCAACGACAACCGAAGCCAACTCACAAGCTACAACTACCGAAGGATCAGCTTCAAGTAATACCACTCCTGTTAGTGAAGTCACGTCAACTGCGACACCAACACAAACAACCCAAGGCGAAGAATCAACAACAACTGAAGTCAACTCAGAAGCTACAACTACCGAAGGGCCCACTTCAAGTGGTACCACTCCAGTCAGTGAAGTCACGTCAACGGCGGCACCAACACAAACAACCCAAGGCGAAGAATCAACAACAACCGAAACGGGCTCAGAGGCTACAACTAGCGAAGGGGCCGCTTCAAGTGTTACCACTCCAGCTGGTGAAGTCACGTCAACGACGGTACCAACACAGACAACCCAGGGCGAAGAATCAACAACAACTGAAGCCAGTTCAGAAGCGACAACCACTGATTGGTCCGCTTCAAGTGATACCACTACGGCTAGTGCAGTCACGACAACCGCAGTACCAACAAAAACAACCCAGGGTGAAGAATCAACGACAACCGAAGCCAACTCACAAGCTACAACTACCGAAGGATCAGCTTCAAGTAATACCACTCCTGTTAGTGAAGTCACGTCAACTGCGACACCAACACAAACAACCCAAGGCGAAGAATCAACAACAACTGAAGTCAACTCAGAAGCTACAACTACTGAAGGGCCCACTTCAAGTGGTACCACTCCAGTCAGTGAAGTCACGTCAACGGCGGCACCAACACAAACAACCCAAGGCGAAGAATCAACAACAACCGAAGCGAGCTCAGAGGCTACAACTACCGAAGGGTCCGATTCAAGTGTTACCACTCCAGCTGGTGGAGTCACGTCAACTGCGGCACCAACACAAACAACCCAAGGCGAAGAATCAACAACAAGCGAAGCGGGCTCAGAGGCCTCAACTACCGAAGGGGCCGCTTCAAGTGATACTACTCCAGCTAGTGAAGTCACGTCAACCACGGTACCAACACAAACAACCCAGGGCGAAGAATCAACAACAACTGAAGCCAGTTCAGAAGCGACAACCACTGATTGGTCCGCTTCAAGTGATACCACTACGGCTAGTGCAGTCACGACAACCGCAGTACCAACAAAAACAACCCAGGGTGGAGAATCAACAACAACCGAAGCCAACTCAGAAGCTACAACTACCGAAGGATCAGCTTCAAGTGATACCACCCCTGTTAGTGAAGTCACGTCAACTGCGACACCAACACAAACAACCCAAGGCGAAGAATCAACAACAACTGAAGTCAACTCAGAAGCTACAACTACCGAAGGGCCCACTTCAAGTGGTACCACTCCAGCCAGTGAAGTCACGTCAACTGCGGCACCAACACAAACAACCCAAGGCGAAGAATCAACAACAACCGAAGCGGGCTCAGGGGCCTCAACTACCGAAGGGGCTGCTTCAAGTGATACCACTCCAGCTGGTGAAGTCACGTCAACCACGGTACCAACACAAACAACCCAGGGCGAAGGATCAACAACAACTGAAGCCAGTTCAGAAGCGACAACTACTGATGGGTCCGCTTCAAGTGATACCACTACGGCTAGTGCAGTCACGACAACCGCAGTACCAACAAAAACAACCCAGGGTGAAGAATCAACGACAACCGAAGCCAACTCACAAGCTACAACTACCGAAGGATCAGCTTCAAGTGATACCACTCCTGCTAGTGAAGTCACGTCAACTGCGACACCAACACAAACCACCCAAGGCGAAGAATCAACAACAACCGAAGCGGGCTCAGAAGCCTCAACTACCGAAGGGCCCACTTCAAGTGGTACCACTCCAGCCAGTGAAGTCACGTCAACTGCGGCACCAACACAAACAACCCAGGGCGAAGAATCAACAACAGCTGAAGCCAGTTCAGAAGCGACAACTACTGATGGGTCCGCTTCAAGTGATACCACTACGGCTAGTGCAGTCACGACAACCGCAGTACCAACAAAAACAACCCAGGGTGAAGAATCAACGACAACCGAAGCCAACTCACAAGCTACAACTACTGAAGGATCAGCTTCAAGTGATACCACTCCTGCTAGTGAAGTCACGTCAACTGCGACACCAACACAAACAACCCAAGGCGAAGAATCAACAACAACTGAAGTCAACTCAGAAGCTACAACTACTGAAGTGCCCACTTCAAGTGGTACCACTCCAGTCAGTGAAGTCACGTCAACGGCGGCACCAACACAGACAACCCAGGCCGAAGAATCAACAAAAACTGAAGCCAGTTCAGAAGCGACAACCACTGATTGGTCCGCTTCAAGTGATACCACTACGGCTAGTGCAGTCACGACAACCGCAGTACCAACAAAAACAACCCAGGGTGAAGAATCAACAACAACCGAAGCCAACTCAGAAGCTACAACTACCGAAGGATCAGCTTCAAGTGATACCACTCCAGCTGGTGAAGTCACGTCAACTGCGGCACCAACACAAACCACCCAAGGCGAAGAATCAACAACAACCGAAACGGGCTCAGAGGCTACAACTAGCGAATGGGCCGCTTCAAGTGATACCACTCCAGCTGGTGAAGTCACGTCAACCACGGTACCAACACAAACAACCCAGGGCGAAGAATCAACAACAACCGAAACGGGCTCAGAGGCTACAACTAGCGAAGGGGCCGCTTCAAGTGATACCACTCCAGCTGGTGAAGTCACGTCAACCACGGTACCAACACAAACAACCCAGGGCGAAGAATCAACAACAACTGAAGCCAGTTCAGAAGCGACAACCACTGATTGGTCTGCTTCAAGTGATACCACTACGGCTAGTGCAGTCACGACAACCGCAGTACCAACAAAAACAACCCAGGGTGAAGAATCAACAACAACCGAAGCCAACTCAGAAGCTACAACTACCGAAGGATCAGCTTCAAGTGACACCACCCCTGTTAGTGAAGTCACGTCAACTGCGACACCAACACAAACAACCCAAGGCGAAGAATCAACAACAACTGAAGTCAACTCAGAAGCTACAACTACCGAAGGGCCCACTTCAAGTGGTACCACTCTAGCCAGTGAAGTCACGTCAACTGCCGCACCAACACAGACAACCCAGGGCGAAGAATCAACAACAACTGAAGCCAGTTCAGAAGGGACAACCACTGGTTGGTCCGCTTCAAGTGATACCACTACGGCTAGTGCAGTCACGACAACCGCAGTACCAACAAAAACAACCCAGGGTGAAGAATCAACGACAACCGAAGCCAACTCACAAGCTACAACTACTGAAGGATCAGCTTCAAGTGATACCACTCCTGCTAGTGAAGTCACGTCAACTGCGACACCAACACAAACAACCCAAGGCGAAGAATCAACAACAACTGAAGTCAACTCAGAAGCTACAACTACTGAAGGGCCCACTTCAAGTGGTACCACTCCAGTCAGTGAAGTCACGTCAACGGCGGCACCAACACAGACAACCCAGGGCGAAGAATCAACAAAAACTGAAGCCAGTTCAGAAGCGACAACCACTGATTGGTCCGCTTCAAGTGATACCACTCCAGCTGGTGAAGTCACGTCAACGACGGTACCAACACAGACAACCCAGAGCGAAGAATCAACAACAACTGAAGCCAGTTCAGAAGCGTCAACCCCTGATTGGTCCGCTTCAAGTGATACCACTACGGCTAGTGCAGTCACGACAACCGCAGTACCAACAAAAACAACCCAGGGTGAAGAATCAACAACAACCGAAGCCAACTCAGAAGCTACAACTATCGAAGGATCAGCTTCAAGTGATACCACTCCAGCTGGTGAAGTCACGTCAACTGTGGCACCAACAAAAACCACCCAAGGCGAAGAATCAACAACAACCGAAACGGGCTCAGAGGCTACAACTAGCGAAGGGGCTGCTTCAAGTGATACCACTCCAGCTGGTGAAGTCACGTCAACCACGGTACCAACACAAACAACCCAGGGCGAAGAATCAACAACAACTGAAGCCAGTTCAGAAGCGACAACCACTGATTGGTCTGCTTCAAGTGATACCACTACGGCTAGTGCAGTCACGACAACCGCAGTACCAACAAAAACAACCCAGGGTGAAGAATCAACAACAACCGAAGCCAACTCAGAAGCTACAACTACCGAAGGATCAGCTTCAAGTGATACCACCCCTGTTAGTGAAGTCACGTCAACTGCGACCCCAACACAAACAACCCAAGGCGAAGAATCAACAACAACTGAAGTCAACTCAGAAGCTACAACTACCGAAGGGCCCACTTCAAGTGGTACCACTCCAGCCAGTGAAGTCACGTCAACTGCCGCACCAACACAAACAACCCAAGGCGAAGAATCAACAACAACCGAAGCGGGCTCAGAGGCCTCAACTACCGAAGGAGCTGCTTCAAGTGATACCACTCCAGCTGGTGAAGTCACGTCAACGAAGGTACCAACACAAACAACCCAGGGCGAAGAATCAACAACTGAAGTCAGTTCAGAAGCGACAACTACTGATGGGTCCGCTTCAAGTGATACCACTACGGCTAGTGCGGTCACGACAACCGCAGTATCAACAAAAACAACCCAGGGTGAAGAATCAACGACAACCGAAGCCAACTCACAAGCTACAACTACCGAAGGATCAGCTTCAAGTGATACCACTCCTGCTAGTGAAGTCACGTCAACTGCGACACCAACACAAACAACCCAAGACGAAGAATCAACAACAACTGAAATCAACTCAGAAGCTACAACTACTGAAGGGCCCACATCAATTGGTACCACTCCAGTCAGTGAAGTCACGTCAACTGCGGCACCAACACAAACAACCCAAGGCGAAGAATCAACAACAACCGAAGCGAGCTCAGAGGCTACATCTACCGAAGGGTCCGATTCAAGTGATACCACTCCAGCTGGTGGAGCCACGTCAACTGCGGCACCAACACAAACAACCCAAGGCGAAGAATCAACAACAAGCGAAGCGGGCTCAGAGGCCTCAACTACCGAAGGGGCCGCTTCAAGTGATACCACTCCAGCTGGTGAAGTCACGTCAACCACGGTACCAACACAAACAACCCAGGGCGAAGAATCAACAACTGAAGTCAGTTCAGAAGCGACAACCACTGATTGGTCCGCTTCAAGTGATACCGCTACGGCTAGTGCAGTCACGACAACCGCAGTACCAACAAAAACAACCCAGGGTGAAGAATCAACGACAACCGAAGCCAACTCACAAGCTACAACTACCGAAGGATCAGCTTCAAGTGATACCACTCCTGCTAGTGAAGTCACGTCAACTGCGACACCAACACAAACAACCCAAGGCGAAGAATCAACAACAACTGAAATCAACTCAGAAGCTACAACTACTGAAGGGCCCACTTCAATTGGTACCACTCCAGTCAGTGAAGTCACGTCAACTGCGGCACCAACACAATCAACCCAAGGCGAAGAATCAACAACAACTGAAGTCAACTCAGAAGCTACAACTACCGAAGGGCCCACTTCAAGTGGTACCACTCCAGCCAGTGAAGTCACGTCAACTGCGGCACCACCACAAACAACCCAAGGCGAAGAATCAACAACAACCGAAGCGGGCTCAGAAGCCTCAACTACCGAAGGGGCCGCTTCAAGTGATACCACTCCAGCTGGTGAAGTCACGTCAACTGCGGCACCAACACAAACAACCCAAGGCGAAGAATCAACAACAACCGAAGCGGGCTCAGAGGCCTCAACTACCGAAGGGGCTGCTTCAAGTGATACCACTCCAGCTGGTGAAGTCACGTCAACGACGGTACCAACACAAACAACCCAGGGCGAAGAATCAACGACTGAAGTCAGTTCAGAAGCGACAACTACTGATGGGTCTGCTTCAAGTGATACCACTACGGCTAATGCAGTCACGACAACCGCAGTACCAACAAAAACAACCCAGGGTGAAGAATCAACGACAACCGAAGCCAACTCACAAGCTACAACTACCGAAGGATCAGCTTCAAGTGATACCACTCCAGCCAGTGAAGTCACGTCAACTGCGGCACCAACACAAACAACCCAAGGCGAAGAATCAACAACAACCGAAGCGGGCTCAGAAGCCTCAACTACCGAAGGGGCCGCTTCAAGTGATACCACTCCAGCTGGTGAAGTCACGTCAACTGCGGCACCAACACAAACAACCCAAGGCGAAGAATCAACAACAACCGAAGCGGGCTCAGAGGCCTCAACTACCGAAGGGGCTGCTTCAAGTGATACCACTCCAGCTGGTGAAGTCACGTCAACGACGGTACCAACACAAACAACCCAGGGCGAAGAATCAACAACTGAAGTCAGTTCAGAAGCGACAACTACTGATGGGTCTGCTTCAAGTGATACCACTACGGCTAATGCAGTCACGACAACCGCAGTACCAACAAAAACAACCCAGGGTGAAGAATCAACGACAACCGAAGCCAACTCACAAGCTACAACTACCGAAGGATCAGCTTCAAGTGATACCACTCCTGCTAGTGAAGTCACGTCAACTGCGACACCAACACAAACAACCCAAGGCGAAGAATCAACAACAACTGAAATCAACTCAGAAGCTACAACTACTGAAGGGCCCACTTCAATTGGTACCACTCCAGTCAGTGAAGTCACGTCAACTGCGGCACCAACACAATCAACCCAAGGCGAAGAATCAACAACAACTGAAGTCAACTCAGAAGCTACAACTACCGAAGGGCCCACTTCAAGTGGTACCTCTCCAGCCAGTGAAGTCACGTCAACTGCGGCACCAACACAAACAACCCAAGGCGAAGAATCAACAACAACCGAAGCGGGCTCAGAAGCCTCAACTACCGAAGGGGCCGCTTCAAGTGATACCACTCCAGCTGGTGAAGTCACGTCAACTGCGGCACCAACACAAACAACCCAAGGGGAAGAATCAACAACAACCGAAGCCAACTCAGAAGCTACAACTACCGAAGGATCAGCTTCAAGTGATACCACTCCAGCAGGTGAAGTCACGTCAACTGCGGCACCAACACAAACAACCCAAGGCGAAGAAACAACAACAAGCGAAGCGGGCTCAGAGGTCTCAACTACCGAAGGGGCCGCTTCAAGTGACACCACTCCAGCTCTTGAAGTCACGTCAACGACGGTACCAACACAAACAACCCAGGGCGAAGAATCAACAACAACTGAAGCCAGTTCAGAAGCGACAACCACTGATTGGTCTGCTTCAAGTGATACCACTACGGCTAATGCAGTCACGACAACCGCAGTACCAACAAAAACAACCCAGGGTGAAGAATCAACGACAACCGAAGCCAACTCACAAGCTACAACTACCGAAGGATCAGCTTCAAGTGATACCACTCCTGCTAGTGAAGTCACGTCAACTGCGACACCAACACAAACAACCCAAGGCGAAGAATCAACAACAACTGAAATCAACTCAGAAGCTACAACTACTGAAGGGCCCACTTCAATTGGTACCACTCCAGTCAGTGAAGTCACGTCAACTGCGGCACCAACACAATCAACCCAAGGCGAAGAATCAACAACAACTGAAGTCAACTCAGAAGCTACAACTACCGAAGGGCCCACTTCAAGTGGTACCTCTCCAGCCAGTGAAGTCACGTCAACTGCGGCACCAACACAAACAACCCAAGGCGAAGAATCAACAACAACCGAAGCGGGCTCAGAAGCCTCAACTACCGAAGGGGCCGCTTCAAGTGATACCACTCCAGCTGGTGAAGTCACGTCAACTGCGGCACCAACACAAACAACCCAAGGGGAAGAATCAACAACAACCGAAGCCAACTCAGAAGCTACAACTACCGAAGGATCAGCTTCAAGTGATACCACTCCAGCAGGTGAAGTCACGTCAACTGCGGCACCAACACAAACAACCCAAGGCGAAGAAACAACAACAAGCGAAGCGGGCTCAGAGGTCTCAACTACCGAAGGGGCCGCTTCAAGTGACACCACTCCAGCTCTTGAAGTCACGTCAACGACGGTACCAACACAAACAACCCAGGGCGAAGAATCAACAACAACTGAAGCCAGTTCAGAAGCGACAACCACTGATTGGTCTGCTTCAAGTGATACCACTACGGCTAGTGCAGTCACGACAACCGCAGTACCAACAAAAACAACCCAGGGTGAAGAATCAACGACAACCGAAGCCAACTCACAAGCTACAACTACCGAAGGATCAGCTTCAAGTGATACCACTCCTGCTAGTGAAGTCACGTCAACTGTGACACCAACACAAACAACCCAAGGCGAAGAATCAACAACAACTGAAGTCAACTCAGAAGCTACAACTACTGAAGGGCCCACTTCAAGTGGTACCACTCCAGTCAGTGAAGTCACGTCAACGGCGGAACCAACACAAACAACCCAAGGCGAAGAATCAACAACAACCGAAACGGGCTCAGAGGCTACAACTAGCGAAGGGGCCGCTTCAAGTGATACCACTCCAGCTGGTGAAGTCACGTCAACGGCGGCACCAACACAAACAACCCAAGGCGAAGAATCAACAACATTCGAAGCGGGCACAGAGGCTACAACTACCGAAGAGTCCGCTACAAGTAATACCAGTCCAGCTGGTGAAGTCACGTCAACTGCGGCACCAACTCAAACAACCCAAGGGGAAGAATCAACGACAACCGAAGCGGGCTCAGAGGCTACAACTACCGAAGGTTCCGCTTCAAGTGATATCACTCCAGCTGGTGAGGTCACGTCAACTGCGGCACCAACACAAACAACCCAAGGCGAAGAATCAACAACATTCGAAGCGGGCACAGAGGCTACAACTACCGAAGAGTCCGCTTCAAATAATACCGGTCCAGCTGGTGAAGTCACGTCAACTGCGGCACCAACTCAAACAACCCAAGGGGAAGAATCAACAACAACTGAAGCCAACTCAGAAGCTACAACTACCGAAGGGCCCGCTTCAAGTGATACCACTCCAGCTGGTGAAGTCACGTCAACTGCGGCACCAACACAAACAACCCAAGGCGAAGAATCAACAACATCCGAAGCCAGCTCAGAACCAACAACTACCGCGGAATCTGCTTCAAGTGACACCACTCCAGCTAGTGAAGTCACCTCAAGTGCAGTACCAACACAAACAACCCAAGGCGAAGGATCAACAACAACCGAAGCCAGCTCAGAACCCACTACTACCGCAGAACCCACTTCAAATGACAGCACGTCATCTAGTGGAGTCACGTCAACTTCGATACCAACAGAAACAACCCAGGACGAACAACCAACAACCGAAACTAGTTCAGAACCCACAACTACAGAAGGTTCCGTTTCAAGTGACACTCCTCCCGCTAGTGAAATCACGTCAACTCCGGTACCAACACAAACGACCCAGAGTGAAGAACCAGCCACAACCGAAATATCCACATCCAGCGACACTACGGAGCTTTCTACGGATAGCACAACTTCGGAATCGTCGACCGTACTTCCACCTTTCGTCTGCGCCAAGCCCGGAAAGTTTCCGGATACGCAGGATTGCGCAAAATATCACCTGTGCTTGGATCTCGTGGACGAAATATACGACCTTACCTCCGAGTGCCCTCAGGGCACCCTCTACGACTCCTACAATGGTCACTGTACCACCTCACCGGTTCAATGTCCCGGCGATATCGAACTGTCCTGTACCATTAACGGAACTTTCGTCCATCCAGACCAGTGCAATCGTTATTACACTTGCAGTTATAATTTCATTTACGAGCGGTTCGAATTGAAGCAATACCTTTGTCCGGTGAACCAAGTGTACGACGAGGACCAGGGAACCTGCGTAGATTCAGATTCATGCAGCATCGATTTATCACTTCCTGGTGCCCAGTTCGTTTGCACCCAGCCTGGTCTCTACCCTGTCGAGTACAACTGCAAGAACTTCTACCAGTGCGAATACGTAGGAGTGGAATTGGTCAAGACGATAAAATCTTGCGGATTGTTCGCGCTGTTCGACAGAGAGAAGGAAAAGTGCCGCAAAGAATGTCTTGTCACCAACTGCCCGTTCAACAACGCTGACGTGGAGTAGAACCAGAGTTAATACGTTTACTGTCTATTTGTTGTTATTAAATTATTAGCTGTATATACAGTCCGTGTTTAGTTATTGTTGTGCATATTATAAATAGTTAGTTTCCCTGAGACTGTGAAGGGCCGGAAAGTAAATAAACTTTTGAAAATTGTTACCAATGGTTTGGTTACCCCAGTATGTCATTAAAATCTCCCACGTTTATCATTTCCTGGAAGGGGTCGACTATAAGGTAATCAGGATGTTCATATTGGGTTTTTGTCATTGGGTTTGAGGAGTCGTCAAGGACCTTTGCAATTTGCGAATCTCGAAAGATAATATTTGACGCCGGATTTTGAAAACAATATAACAATAAAAATTGTTTAAACGTATCTAGGAAGGTAAATATTGATTTATTGTGTTTTATATGTGCTGCAACCGCAGTCGATATCAATGCAGTTTTGTTGTAAATTATAAGCAATTCGCAGCGGGATGTCGCCGCTACTGTTAAAGCTTTTGATGGTAAGTGCAACTATGTGTAGGAAGAGTTTCTACTTTAAAGGACTTTAAATCTATTTTTGAAATCCCCACCTTTCCTTTACTGAGCTTTCAAAGCCTCCCAGCTCTTATCGAAGTCTCTCTCTCTCTCTCTCTTTATCACGACATCCACTCCTGGATATAGGCCTGCCCTCATCTTTTCCACCCTTCTCTGTCTCTAGCGATCCAGTTCCGACCGACTGCCTTTCTAATATCGTCCATCCATCTTATGTAGGGTCGCCCGACACTTCTTTTATACAATCTCGGTCTCCACTGTTAAAATCCTTGGACTTGAGATTGATGGGGACCTTAAGGTTTTTAAGGGCGAAATCAAGCTTGTCAGTAGCGGGCCAAGTCATATGGACTCTTCTTTGAATTTCGGCTTGCTGGTTATCTATCCCTAGCTTTATTTGGTGACCCAGGTAGACGTATTCTTCAACCTTCTCAGTCATCTCACCAACTATCTATCATTCCCGAAGCAGTTTTGAGTGCCTAGAGCATTCCCTGCAACTCACCCAAGTCATTGCTGATAAATAAGCACAATATCATCCGCAAAATGGAGATGGTTTAATATCACCCATCAATTCCAAGGCTTTTGTGGTTCCAGTTGAGTTGCTTGAAAACATCCTACAGTGCCAGTGTGAAAAGCTTCGAGGAAATAGTGTCTTACCCGGCAGAAATCAACACAGTTGATGAGTTTTCTCTGATTTTTACTTCTAACGTATCCTTTTCATATATATTTTTCAATCTACCTGGCTTTGTCCATTGCTCAAAATATAGACCATAACTCAATGGAGTCGAAAGCTTTGTTATAGTCGATAAAATCCAGATGGATATTTATGTTGTATTCGTTGCACTTTTCGATTAGTGTTCTAATATGATTATTTTTGTGAGTAATGTGTAAGGATGTGGGAGAAGATTTATAGGTCTATAGTTCTCAATATTGATTTTATCGCCCTTTTTAAACAGAAGAACGACCTGGGCGCTTAGTAGACACTTATTAACGAGAATACTATTGGAATTAAGAGTTGTGAGAGGGCAAGATTGATTTCGTCGTTGGAGATTGTCGGTATATCTTTTGAGCCGACATTTGTAATCTTAATGGGATGTAAGTCGATTGGTTTTTGAGTTATTGAGGAATATAAGCTCTTCTAAAATATCTCAACTATTTGGGTGAGTTCGCTGCTTTCTTGTACAATATCTCAATTTTCGTTTCATAGTTGGTGCATTCGCTTTGTCCCAACTGAGCTGATGATTCACAACGACTGCATGGCTCAAAGACTTGAAGTTCTGCTACTGCTGTTTTACCTTGTTTGGATTAGCCCTGTACTCTCAAGGGAGTACAATGGGGAGTTTGGACAGTGGTGCGCATCTAGTTAGCACAGTCTACACGTGCTGTCGTCTTCCTCTCCCAAGATATATAATGGCCCTCGTGACAATGTCCTGTTATAAAATCTTAGAGGACCCTACTCACCACTGCCTCAATCCGGGTAAACTCTCTCAATGTAAAGAGAAGTACCTCTGGGGCCATTTATAAATCTCGCTCTTCCTTGCTTGTAGTTTTAGAGGTTTACCAGTGACCTACAAGAAATCCTCTACAACTTTCATGTGTTGAGCTTTCGTAACTCCGGGAGTTTTTCGCACATATCTCCAAAACTGTAGTTCTGATCCAGTACTATAACAATCACTTTGTAAAGCTGGGAATTCTTTCGTACATTCAATTTCTTCTCTCTCTCTCTCTCTCTCTCTCTCTCTCTCTCTCTCCTCTAACCAATAAGGTGTCACGCCTAAATACTACGTTTCAGATTGCGATCGTGTTACCACTAGTGCATCTTCAAACGTACGAGTGCACCGCAGCTGGAAAATTCCGCTACCAAGACGCCACCTGCCGGTCGTTTTACATGTGCGTATTTTACAACGGCGCTTACGTCAGAAGCGACTACACGTGCCCTTCGAACTCGGTGTTCGACGGGTCGAGTCAGACATGCTCTAACACGGCGATTTGTATCGACAATTTGTGCGACAACGTGCCTCTGACACCTCTGCTGCAGAGATTGGCCGACCCTAATGCGGTCAACTGTACGACTTATATCATGTGCGCGGGGTTATTTCCAAAGTATCCCGTCTTGGTCAGTTGTCCGAACGGGTACTATTATAACCAGGCGTTGGAGGATTGCTGGATTACACCCGATTGCTAACTTCTAAGTAAAAGATTTTCATCCAGCAGAATGCGGTGAACACACATGATGATGAACACACAAATGAATCTCCATTAGCACCTTGTACCTAATACATTGGTTATCAATTGTCAATAAATCCAGGGAAAAACAATATTTAGAGGGGTTTTTATTGTTATTACTACCAAACAATGGAGTTGACGAAATGTTGTTGGTTAATTAAATCCTCATAGAACCTTTACGAACTCGTACTGTGAGGGTAACATTAGTTGCGGAAATGTTTATATTTCCTTCTTCTCTTAATGCCGAACTCTTTAACTCTTCTCAACTACCAGACATTGGAAAAAAAGCCACCTTCGTTATTGCCGCACGTATTGTCCTAAACGAGGAAATAATTTCAAACGTCGAGTCTATCGTTAATAAACTGTTATCTTAAACACCTAATGATATTCGATTTGAAGCTGCAAAAATCCTTGAAACATCTAATCCCAAAATCGTAATTCTAAAGCAGATAACGGAATGCTACGATGGTCATGAAGACAAATTGAAATCAGGAAAAAATTTAAGATACTCTTAGGCACGGATCCTATCGTCAACTTAAAAAAGATCTCACGTCATCTAGGGAACGCAACCTTAATAAGGCTTTTTCCCTATGAGAAGCTGTGATTAGGTTTCTAAAATTCCTCTTTTCCACAGACTCGCCAAGATGACCCCTCCGAAATATTGTCAGCACCATTGGTTCTCGAACATATTTTCTAGCTTCTATATTAAAGCCATTGCATTAGATACGAACGATATTATGGTTAGTCCCAATTCCCGAAACTCCCAAGATTATTTCATATATATTAAAATCCCAGATTCTGGAAGCAAACATTTTTCTCCCAATTGAAAAATGGTTGTCTGAAACTATGAATAAGCGTAGACAACAGCTATGGTTCTCCCGGGTTCTCCATTATCACCAGTCACTGCGAAATTAACCAAAATTAGGGAAACGCTACGTTGATGATCCTTTTGCTATTTGGCCTCATGGCCAGGAATCCTTCCGAGATCTTCTAGTCCGTTTAAACTCTATACATCCTAACATAAATATTACTATTTATCTAAGGACTTGTAAAATTAGTGATCTAACCTATTTGAATTGCCAATGCCACTTGGCGAAAAAACCTGACGTCAGTTGGTCCAACCAATCAACTGGTAAATTAGTGATCAAGCAACATTGAAGAACAAACCACAAATTGCAGATATTTCAGCAAACAGAGGGAGACATAAAAGTGAATAACAAATTCATCAGCAAATTGCTCGAGCAGTAGCCGACTCAATGGGCTACCTAGACAGCTAACGGCTGTGATCGTAGGAAGAACTCTAAATTTCTTGTTTACTTTTACTCATAACTCCTTCGCATTGTCACAGCTACACCATTTGGTTCCAGATTTTGGTCTGGGTTTCTACAAGCCAATCCCAATACTCCATAAACATCTGCAACTCAACCGGCAACTTCCGATACATCGACGCCAACTGTCTTCGATACTACTCCTGCTCCTACTCCACTCTAATGGGATGGTACCGGACACCTGCGGCGTGCACGCCGCCCGCCATCTTTAATCCGACGTCGCAGGGTTGCGACGCCGCCGCATTTTGCATAGACACGGTGTGTCGGAATAGGGCGATAGACGCGAAGTTGATAGACCCAAATGCTTTGAACTCCACACGACCGGTTACTTATATTCAGTGCATGGGAGTTATCAATCAGCACCCGGTCGTGGTCAGTTGCACCACCGTAGCGGGTGCTTCCGCGTATTACAATTTTGTCACTCAGACATGCACTGTGGTGTAGAACTAATGCAGAACATAAAGGAATCACAAGTAAAAGTAAAGGCAGCTTTTAGGATAATACATAATCCACAGGTCTAAAAAGGTGAAGACGAAGCAAGGAGCCCATTCAATCGAAATAAATTAATCTTGTATAATATTGATAATTAGTTGCAGATACTCTGATATAACTATACAGGGTGTTTTCTAATTGAATGTCAATAAGTAAGAGGCGATTTAAAAAGAATACTTCATATGAACATATGTGCTAAGCGTCTCAAGTTTTGAGATACAGAGTGGTCAAGTTTTCAAAAATAAGATATATTTTTTTAATATCTGTTATACCATTTTAGATATTTTGATAAATTTTGAATTGTCTAGTGCACCACAGTTTTTCAAAAATACACCAGTGGCGGGCGTACGGAATTTCACCTGTCTCTTTTGGCAGACATTTGGTACGCCACTGGTTTATCTTAAAATAAAAATTATTCTTACAATTTTCAATCATTTATAAAGAAATTTAATTTCTCAGATTTTTTCAAATAAAATATAAATTTAAAACAAAATTTTTAGATACTATACTTCAGAAAAAAGTATTAGAAAACTGTTTTAATGATGATGACTATTAATAATTTTTAACAAAATTTTCTGTTTATTAATTAATAATAACCTTTTTCAAAAAAAGGTAGAACATAGAAACTAGATAAGTTGTTGAAAGTGTCCTTCAACTTGAAGGAATCACGCTTCAGCTCTTTCACTCATATTGCAGTATTAACGGTGAATAAGAGACTTTTAAGATGCCCCCATAAGAAAAAGAGGCTGAGGTCAACGGAGTCCTATTCATGGGTTATTAAATATGTGCTTCAAATTTTCTCGAACTGCCGTCATACATGACCCACATTGTATTTCTGATTAAATATGGTACTTCTAGCAATATTTTCAAGTCCTCTTCTAAAAACCGGCGATAATTATGGTCATTTAACCTTTCTGGAAGGAAACAGGGTCCAATTAAGTAATTTCCAACAATTCCAGAGCAAATATTTACCGGAATATGGTTATTATGGAAATTTCTGATTGCATTTCTGGAAAAGTTAACTTCATCTGTAAATATTATTTCTTGGTCAAACAATTGATAATCCGAAATTTTGTCCAAAAGCCATTCACAAAAGGAAGTAACGTTTGGACTCGTTGAATATGATACGGGTACAATAGAAAAATTTTTCAAACCAAAGCGTGCGAGTTATTCATATTATTTCCTAGTACTGGTTCTGGGATTCAGGATTTCAGGATTTTCATCAATTCATGCTTCTTTAATTTCTGTAGTTCTCACAGTCCGATGGGCCCCTTTTAAATGATTATTTGCCCTCAAAGTACCTGTTTCAAATTCAAGAAATTAAATTTCTTTAGAACCGATTGGAGATTATAAGAATATTTTTTTGTTTTAAGCGAAATCAGTGGCGTACCATCAATGTCTGCCAAAAAGGACATGTGAAATTTCGTACTGAAACCAATGGTGTATTTAAAAAAATAATGTGGTACACTAAATAATGTCTCTTAATACATGGTACATATGTGCCAAATTTCATTAAAATATGGTGGTGTTACATACATTAAAGAAATATAATTTATTTTTCAAAATTTTACCATCCGGTATCTCAAAAGTTAAGACGTTTAGGACATATGCGAATATGAAGTTTTCTTTTTAAAATGGACCCATACATACAATATACGATTAGAAAATACCCTGTATAGATAATAAAAAATAGAAAGAATTCTATGTGTCAATTTTTTTTGAGGTACAGGGAGAAAAAAAATCGGTGTTGTATTTTAAACACGCTGTATCGCATTGATATAATAAAATAGAAATCTTATAGATCCTTTTTTTTTGTAAAATCCAGTGACGCACTCAGATTTTTTTTATATTATAAATTTTTAATATACCAATTGCTTTTTTTATATCTCTACCTTATTGTTAGTAAACTTGAAAACAATTAATCAATTATTTTTTTATAAACTTTAAGATACAAGCGATAGGTATATGCTTCAAATGAAATGCCAAAATTTGAAATGAATTTTTTATACGCCTTCTCAAAATCGATATTACGGAATAATAGGGACTATTTTTCAAAAATAAGTAGAAATATTTACACTCATTGATTTGGTTGAATTAAATTCTACGATATGCTAAAAAATGGGTTGCTTTCCGATTAAAGATATTTCCAACATTTTCATAGTCTATTCTAATTTTTTTTTAACAAATTAATTCAACAAACTATTTTCTGTATTCTGCAGTGTGATTTTATTTATGTGATAAAATAGGGATAGAAAAGTCCATTTAGACAATTATGTATTTTTGAGAAGCGCTATGAAATTTTTCACTCGAAACAACATAACTTTGGATCTTATCTTAGAAATGATGTCTTTTACACAAATTCTGATTACGTTACTGGATTCGAAGGAAAAAAGATCTGCAAGATATAATTTTCATCATCCGGTTATGACACAGGGTGTCAAAAATACAAATGGTAACTTGAATGGTCAAATTGGGTTTTAAAACAAAGCAAGCTAGGATAGCTAGCTAGAGTGTTCCGAATTGTTAGAACAAAATATAGTTAGTGGGCAAGCTAGGATAGCTAGCTAGAGCAGATAGCTAGATAGCTAATAATAGATCGGATGCCCCGCAATAACAACGAAAATTGGACACATTGTACATAATACAATAGCTATCTTCACTGATTACAAATAGTTGTTATTATAAATATTGTATCCAAGTAGTAACAAAAATACGTATAGGCCCTATAAATTAATCAAACAGTAAAAAATGTTGTTATCTTCCAAAAATATTCCGAATTGTTCGAACATAATATAATAAAATATAGCTAGTGGGCAAAAATATTCAAGGGTTGATAGAGTGAATCCAAGAAATACGTTTCCCGGTATGGACGATCGACATCGAAATAATGAATGACGATGTTATTTGCGTTGGTCGTCATTAATTGCAATAATTACGCAAATTTTATCATTTTACAATTGGGCTAAATATAAAAATGATTACCTTTACCATATATATTACAAATCACACGTTGATTTACTGCTGCGGCGGATATGAATTTTTCTCTCCTAGGACTTACCTGCTCACATACAAGGTGGTATCGAACTAAAATAAGATGCAACGTTGTCGCTTTTAACCACAATCTTACCTTAAAACGGCAAGCCCTATATTTTATAACATTTTTGGATTCATTCCCATAACTGTATAGTGCGGTTTTCATAATATTAATTATTTTTCTTTTTGAACACGCAGTGGTTTAAAATTAATGATTGTCCACGTAATACACAGAAATTATCAATACCATTTGGTGCCGAATTTTACTAACTTTTGGGAAATAACCCCGAAAACGCATTTTGGGTTGAAAAACCGGCTCAAAAATCGATGGTCAATTTTAAAAGTTTTATAACCCCTTTACTTATAATTTTGAGAAAGTAAAATTTATACATTATATACCTTAGTCTATCCAACGATATCGAAAAGTCTTACACAAGTTGTATCGGCTACCGTCGGGAACGAAGAAAAAATTAAAAATTTAAATTTTTGGGAAAAATCAAGACCAAACCCCCATGAAAATTTTGGATCGAGCTCGATATTCACCGATCCGACTGAAATTTGGCATGACGGTAGTGGGTCGAGAGTGGGGGGTTATTAAAAAAAATTAGTCGGTTGTTTAATTGGAAGTTTCTGAGCTCTTTTGGGGCGCAAAATGTAGGGAAACAAGGGGTTTTCTCGATAAAATGTCGATAGTTTATCGACATTTTCAAAAAATAATTAATATTGGAATTTTTGGTCCTCGAAAACCCCTCTACGCAGAATCTTGCCTACTTTTGGGAAATTACCTTGAAATCGCAATTTAGTGTCCCTTAAATTGGTTACAGAATAGTGTATACCTAGGTAGTAAGGATTTTTAAATAATTGCGATGATTGCAATGAAGTGTTTCACTGGTAGCAAATTTTATTCCCACATCATGAGCTGTTTTATTCATGGTGAACACAAGTGAAATTTGGAATGGCCCTAAGTTTTGAGCGGAGGGCAATTTTGTATCGGCACAAACTTACTTTCATTCATTTGTTTTTCATCTCGCACAAATACTTTTTCATATTTCTCCCTTTTACTAGAATTTCATTAATAATTTCTAACATTCTTTAATATTTAACAATACTTTCGCGTAAATTCTTACATATTTTAATATATTTTCGAATATTTTCTCATATTTCCTTTGAATTTGCAACTAGGTTCAACTATTTCCTAATATTTTATAGCCTTTCCTTAATTTTTCTCATATTTTCAACTATTTCCTCCTATTTTCTCGTATTTATTTGCTTAATACTTATATGTTCTCCTTTTCCTTTAATATTTGTTCATTTCATTTCTACTCATATTTTCTCGCATTTATTTAATGTTCCCTCTTGATTCCTTCATAATTTCTACATATTCGCGATATATTTTTTAATAATTTTAATTTTCTAATTATTTATAATTCATTTCACGTTTTACTATTTCCTAATATTTTAATTAGCCATGCAAAGTCATGTTTAACTCAATTTTGTATTGAACGAATTTACTGCCATTAATTTGTTTTTCATTCCGTTTCATTGTTTTAAATTCCAATTAGATTCTCGAAAGCATTTGAAACAATTGAAAAATGCAATCATTATTTCAAAACAATAAATGATAGACAAAGAGATTCATCAAAACTTCCTTTGAATAACTATTCTCGTCCAATTTAATTTGTATTGAATTAAATCTTGAAAGAGCAATCGACTAATTTCCTGAAACGGCATGGCGTTCCGTGATTAATTAATAAAAATAAGTCAAGTTAAAGTGATTTTTAATTTAATTTTTAATGATATACATTTTTGTATTTGTATTATGGAATAAATTTATCTGCACTATTCTAAGATGGGGAACTTCCGCAGGCTGCACGAACATTTTCTTCCTTCTGTGGCTTCAAATGGCACCTAAGTTAACGTTTTAGTTTTGCTTCCATCCATCCATCCATCTGTCTGCCACATGTTGTTGTTAGAGGTGGCAACGCTGCGTAGCACAAAATTTCAAACCACTGGAATTTCGGTTTGTGTTAAAAAAACTGTATAAGCCTTATTAAATACTCCAGCCAATATGACGTCACTTATAGATACCATTCGATAAACAAATCTCAGCAGTGTGTTTCCCAGATCAATACGGATTTTCTTTGTAAGCGTGGTTCCCGAAACGTAGACGATTTTGGTTCGGGATAAAAAAAGACTGTGACTAAACTTTATTGGAGGCAATTCTAGCCGCATGGGAGGCCGGCGATATCTATCTGAACGGTACCGTCAGGGCGCAATTTTATTTGGGACAATAAAACGTGGCAATTAAATTTATTGTCGCCGTCGCTACATTAGATATATTTCCCGATGTCGCCCTTCGACGATCAGTGATTATCCACATTTAGTCGCGATCGCAATTAAAAAAAAAATTGCCCATGCGCTTAACGCGACCATGAATTGGATACGCATTTTGCCATACCTTTTTGTAAGTACCTCCCAGTATTTTCGAAAATAGCTTTTCATATTCCCCTCACCCCCCCCCCCCCTTCAACGTTAACATTTACTCGAAGTGCATTCATAACTTCTCACATCGTTAAATATTTCCTTCAACTTTTGCGCTTGTGTGAAATATTCACTTAATATTTTTGGTTATTTTCTCCTATTTCTTTAATATTTGCTACTACATTCCATTATTTCCTATTATTTTCCAGCATTTCCTTAATATTTCCGTATATTCTCGCATAATTTTTCATATTTCGTCATATTTTATAGTATTTCCTTCATTTTTCCCATATTTTGTCTAGTTCCTCATATTTTTCATGTTTACTTAATATTTCTTTGTTTTCTGCTTTTTCTTTAACATTTGCTACTACGTTCCATCATTTACTTAATACATTTTCATATTTTGACCTATTTATTTCCTCTTATTCTCCGCTATTTCCTTCTATTTTTTAGTATTTCCTTTATTTCCTTATACTTCAATAACTTCTTATATTTCGTTTGTTTTCAAATATGTTTCATTATTTCGTCATCTTTAATAATTTTTCTCATATTTTCTCGAATTTATTGAATATTCCCTCTCCATTGAATATCTGCTCATATTTCCTTATGTTTTTTATATTTGCTACTAATTTCAACTATTTCCACCTGTTTTCTCGTACTTCCCAAATAATTCATCATATTTAATCAGTTCCACTATTTTGCCATAATTTATAAAATTTCCTTAATTTTTCTCACATTTTGCACTTTTTCCTCATATTTTATAGTATTTCGTTAATACATTCTCATATTTTGCGGCTATTTTTTTATATTCTCTCGTATTTATTTAACATTTTCTCATACTTTCAATTGCTTTCCCCTATTTTCTAGTATTTCCCATATTTTGCGCTATATCCACAATTGTTCTTGTATTCTCTTAAAATATTATCATATTTTGTGCTATTTTATCATATTTACTCTTATTTATTTAATAATTTCTTTATTAATATTATTATTTTTGCTACTACGGTCCATTATTGCTTATTTTTTTTTAGTGTTTTCTTAATATTTTCTCATATTTCGACACTATTTTCTCATATTTTCCCTTGTTTATTTAAAACTCCCCTTAACTCCACATTATTTCCTAATTTTTTCGAGTATTTTGAAATATTCTTCGTATTTCAATATTTGCCACTACGTTTATTTTCAAGAACCTATATCGTTAATCTTTCGTTTTATGTTCCGCTGTTTCCTCATTTCAAACATATCTCATTATTCTTAGGTTCCCTACTTCTTGATTCTTTCTAGTTCATTAATATTTTCTCATATTTTGCAATACTTCCTCTTATTTTTTGTGTTTCGATCATCTAACTGCATCCAACAGGTTTGGAACTGCCCTCCATTGATATTTGGCGGCGAGCCTGTGCCGAGATCGATAAAGTGTTTATCTACCGGTACATTTTCGTGCTTGACCAACGGACGCTTCGAGGATCCGTTCGATCCGACATGCTCGAAGTATTACCTCTGCGCCACGTACGAGGTCGAATTGGTGACCGTTCGCCTCGCTTGTCCCGAAGGCATGTTCTACGATCCTACAGAGGAACGCTGCTCATCACAGTACGCCTGCATTTGCGATTCTAACGCTACCGTCACCACGAAAGCTCCACCGACCACGAACCCGTGGTGTTCCGAATGCTCGAAGTGTCTAACTACGGAAGAGAGCCAGTCTACCGTGGTGTCTCTGTCTACCAGTAGCCCGGGGTATCCAACAACCGGTGACACTACTCTGGTTACTGGAGGAGGCAACTTAACAACACCTGGACCAACCTGGCAGCCGACTATCAGTGATACAACTGTCGCTACTAAAGGAGACAATTTCACAAGCACAATTCCACCAAATAGCGACACCACTATTGCTACTCAGGAAAATACGTCCACAAGAACAGTTACACCCACAGGGCAGCCGACAAATAGCGATAGGACTTCTGTTTCGCAAGGAGGCGACCTTACAACACTGGGACCAAGCTGGCAACCGACATACAGTGACACCACACCTGTTACTCAAGAAGATACGTCCTCAAGTACAGTTACATCCAGCGGGCAGCCGACAAATAGCGATAGGACTTCTGTTTCGCAAGGAGACAACCTTACAACACTCGGACCAAGTTGGCACCCTACAAACAGTGACACCACACCTGTTACTCAAGAAAATCCGTCTTCAAGTACAGTTACACCCAGCGGGCATTCGACAAATAGCGATAGGACTTCTGTTTCGCAAGAAGGCAACCTTACAACACTCGGACCAAGTTGGCACCCTACAAACAGTGACACCACACCTGTTACTCAAGAAGATACGTCTTCAAGTACAGTTACACCCAGCGGGCAGCCGACATCTAGCGATAGGACTTCTGTTTCGCAAGGGGGCAACCTTACAACACTCGGACCAAGTTGGCACCCTACAAACAGTGACACCACACCTGTTCCTCAAGAAGATACGTCTTCAAGTACAGTTACACCCAGTGGGCAGTCGACAAATAGCGATACGACTGCTGTTTCGCATGGAGAAAACTTTACCACATCTATACCAACCAATAACACTTCTATTCCTACTCAAGGTGATAACTCCACGAGCACAGTTTCACCCAGCGGGCAACCAACAACCAGTGACGCCACCATTTTTACCCAAGGAACTGACTCAACGACTCAACCTGCAACTTCCACTACAGCACATATTACCCCAACCACGTTGACTTCCGATCCCTGTGGTACCCAAGAAACATTCACGTGCTCAGAAAACGGCAGGTTTACGAATCCCGCAGACCGAAGTTGTTCCAGCTACTATTACTGCATCAAACTAAGAGACGGCAACTTCACTTCGGCCTTTTACGTGTGCCCTCCCGACTCCTATTTCAATCCCGTAAGCCAAGGATGCGATACAGGCTACGTGTGCCCCTGTCAAACTGTTCCCACGACTACGTCGCTAAGTCAATCATCTACTGCGGTACCGACAACATCACAACCATCGGAAGGAACCACTGGGTTACCACCACCAGCCTATTGTGACTCGGTGGGCAGCAACTCATTCACCTGCTTTGCTAACGGCAGGTTTATCAACCCCAACGACGCGTCCTGTTTGAGCTATTACTATTGCTACGAATTGAGTAGCTCGTGGTACAAGTCGGTACTCTACGAGTGCGCCGCAGGATCCTTATTCAACAACGCCACTGGCGCGTGCGAAGCTGGATACCAGTGTCCCTGCAACGACCTGCTCACAACTGAAACCACCGTCGCGCCTACTAGCGAAGCACCCACCATAACTCCATCGGCTTGCCCGGTAAATGAGGCGCTAACACCCTTCAACTGCACCGAAAACGGAAGGTTCTCCAACCCGAACGATTCTAGTTGCTCCAGCTACTATTACTGCTACAAGCTGCGCAGCGGTTCGTTCAGTCAAATGCTGTACACTTGTCCCTCTGGGTCGCTTTTCAACCCAGAAAGCCAGGGTTGCGACACGCAATACAGCTGTCCGTGCGGTACCACCACCGAAGTGACCTCGACGCCGACGACCATCGAACCGTGCGACTACAGCCCATCTAACCCAACATTTGTTTGCGAACAAAATGGAAGGTATCCGAGTCCCAACGACACCAGCTGCGCGAGCTACTACTTCTGCTACAAGCTCTCGAGCGGTAGCTTCAGTCAGACCCTTTACACCTGCCCTACGGGATCTCTTTTCAACCCCGACTTGGGAGGTTGCGATGCCCAATTCCGTTGTCCATGTTCGAGCTCCGCAACCACGACAACAGCTGCAGCGCCAACCGAAACCTCGACATCTTCTGCCCTCGAGACGACGACCACCACGTCTACTTGCACAGCAGACGTTTCGACAGTGACGTTCACTTGCTCGGAAAATGGCCGGTTTTTAAACCCAGCCGATCTATATTGCGAATCGTACATCTACTGCTACAAGCTGAGCAGCGGGAGCTTCGTGCAGCAGACCTACACTTGTCCGTCGGGTACTTTCTTCAGCCCCGCTTCCCAAGGTTGTTCCAGCGACAATACGTGCAGATGTCAACAGTCATGATGTCCTCTACTTCAAGCTCGCTACGTTTTTATTTATAGATTTATATTTTTGTATGTTGGGCATCACGGTACTTAATAAAAAGTGATGATCCGTCGTGTTCTTTCGATCGATCGGTCAGCATCGAAGGTACGCCAAGAAATTCGGTTACCACGGTGCACGTTTCTCTCAGAAAATATCGTAAAACGGCAACGACCAATAAACATAAAAGGATTAAGCGATTAGGATCGAGTTGTTTAATCCTCGTGGTGCTGTTTATTGCATCAGATGCAGGCTCGCGAATACGCGATACGAAATTGCCAAAATGTTCGACAGTTTCTGACGTTTCGCCAATCATTGTGTTGGCTTCTTCAGAGCTAGACTGAAACTGCTCCAGTTTCAGTCAATTTCGGCCAGCAAAAATCGACGCAGGAAGAATCCAGAAGTTTTATAAAAAGTACGGCAAATACAACGTTTTTATACGAAAAATAAATAAATAAAACAAAATAAGCCATAATCCAAAACAACATACAGTATTCCATAAACCAGAAAGGAAAAAGACTAAAGCACTCTTTTACTGGGTACAGGCATTTACTCACAAGATGTTCCTTTTGATCCCTTTAAATGCACATAAATTATCATTTTTATTTCTAACGGTAAAAGGTTAAAAAATTGCACATAACTTTGCATAAGGAACCCTAAAGTCGTCTTTAGTTCTTTTATTCACTTAGTGAAAATTCCTGTTCAACACAAAACCTGATTTATTTTGAAACACATAATCACACATTTCCAACGCATATAAACCATACAATGTTAAGATATTAAATTTTTTAAAATAGGTTTTACAACAAGTAGACATCTTACGGCCTTTTCTGAACCACGAACACATTTGTCGAATAAGTCGACCATCCCCACAAAATTATACCATACCTAATTCTACTCTCAATATGAGCGTAATAAATACTTAATATTTGTGATTCCGTTAAGATATTCTTCAGATTATGTAACAAATAGATGTTTGCTCCCAACTTCGATACCAAAATTCATATTTTTATCTATGAACATTCCATGAAACCTTACTTCATGTATCGATCTCAAATCTTCAGTATTTATGTGAAGCGGAAGGTCTCTACATGGCTTTTGACTATGATGGAATCTTAAAATAGATGTTTTTAGAGGATTAAGATATAAGTTATTATTGTTAAACCAAGAGTTCACGTCGTTCAAAACCACGTTACATGTTTCTTTCAGACATCGATAGTACTCGCCCTCCTCAGGAGGTGATCGATCATTTCCATTTAGAGATAATAACAATCTATTCTGATCTTTAAAAATTTTCTCATCACATATCAGCAAAATCTTTAACCTCCTCTGATCATTAAAATGAGTGAAGGGTGACTATAACAATAATAATAATAATAATAATAATAATCTTTTTTTCTAAATCGACAAATACAATGTTTGTATAGAAAATTGTCAATAAAATAAATAAAATAGAAAACTACAAATAGCAATCTATAATCTATAATAATAATAATAATAATAATAATAATAATAATCTATATCTATAAGTAAGAAAAGAGACTAACTAAAGTACTCTTCCACTGAGCACAGGCATTTGAACACAAGATATTCCCTTTTATTCCTTTAAATGCACATAAATTATCACACGTCTTTAGATCTTGTGTTCACTGAGTGAAAACTACTGTTCAACACAAAACTTGACTTATTTTGAAACACATAAACACACATTTCGAACACATATAGACCATACAATGTTAAAATATTCAACTATTTAAAATAGGTTTGTTAGGTTGTTATACCATACCTAATTCTACACTCAACATTATCAACGAGTTTTCAAATTCATGTTTTTATCTATGAACATTCCAAGAAACCTTACACCATGTACCAATCGCAAATCTTCAGTATTTATTTGAAGCAAATGTTCTCTACATGGCTTTTGACTAAGATGGAATCTTATAAAGATGTTTTTAGTACATTACGATGTAAGTTATTATCATTGAACCTCACTCTAATCCACGTGGCATTTGTCATCCAGAAACGAATCACACCTACCCGTCATAGATATCGTAAAGTTATCAGCAAACTTTTTAAATGGTCTCAATATACAAGAGGAAAAGTACCGGTCCTAATACAGAGCCCTGAGGGACGCCCATTTTTACCACCATCTGTTTTATACATTAGGCTAACATATTGTTTCTTAGATTCTGCAAATTTCAATGGAGGACCGCTGATACCACTGCAAGACATTTTCGAATGCCCTGCTGAGGTCACAGAATACCCCAACAGGACAATCACCGGACTTTAACTGGTCTGTAATTATTAATATTTGTTTTACTACCTTTTTTATGTAATGGAATAATTTTTCTAATTTTTTGGCTTGAATTTATAAATGTACTAGATGGGTAAATGGCTTTATAATGAATATTAAGAACGTTTATTTTAAGCTTTTTAATAAGTATACGCCTCTCTGAAAAACTCATGTCTGACATAGCTCGACTATCTTCAATTTTTTTATTAATACGCTCCAGTTGAATATTATTGAACTTCTCTTTCTATGAGTTACTTTTGTTAGCACGTTCCAACTGGATTTTGTTATAATTTCAGAATTTACAATTCTATGCTGGCAAAAGCTTTTCTTTCCATTCCTTACTAGCCTGTTATGCGCGATTTTAGCCAACCTATACCTGCCTCGTAAATTTTCATATATTTTTTGTTGTTGAAAGAAATATTTAAGTTCCCTACTTGATTTTTTTACATCATAGCATATCCACGGGTTTTTATTGTTACACATACAAAATGGACGTTTAGGAAAACACATGTTAAAATTTGACAAAAATTCCAAATAAAAGTAGTCAAACGCAGAATCAAGGCTTCACGCGCTATACATATTAGACCAATTTTTATGAAATAGTGCTTGTTGAAATGGCTTTATTTTGAATTGCATTTACATTATCGACAAAGCTTATTGAAGATAAAATTGATCTATGGTCTGATATTGTATTTTCAATAACAGGTATTACGTGAAAAACTCGAAAATACACGATCAATTGTTGAAGCCATTGAACTCTACTTGCTAAACCAAATGTAACTTTCCAATTCGGTAATTGATTATAAACAATGTTTAATTTATCACTAGGATAATGATAAACTGAAATTAATACCAAGCTTTCATCCTTATTATTCCTTTTTATTTACATATGACACACCACAAACTTCAAAATCTATAACAAGAGGAAATTATTAAAATGGTTGGTATTTTCATGAGGAGGTGGTCCAAAGCTTTTAGTACTTTCACTATTTCCTCATCATTGGAATTGTTTAGAATGAAAATCTTGCACAAGGGCCTTCTCTTGCATGTTCTAAATTTTCAATAATTTCGAGTATTCCATTACCATCAAAACACCACCTCCTTTTTTATAAGTAGTGAAGAGGATGCCAGAAACTGGAGATAAATAAAATGGTTTTCGATTTCACTATAGGAGATTATCCTCTACAACTAATTTAAAACGACGCAATCAGCCTTAAAAATTCGGCGATATTAAAACAAACCTGCCAGGATCCGGATTAACATAATCCCAGTACAAACCTATTAAGTGATTTACGTTTTATTTTGAGAAAGGTAGATGCGACGATTAGCTGGCATTTTTCTCATCCACATATAAAATAGTTACGTCCCAGGCGCATCGTTAAAGTCGTATCGCGTGTCAAGAGAAGAAAAACGGGTCAACCATTATGAAGAGCTCGGCCTTAGCTGTCATTTTGGTAAGTTGCACTTCCAAGCGGCAACCTTTAAACAAATTTGGTATTTTCCGCGTTTGTTATTGAATTTTCAAAATCAAATTTTGGCAGAGTCTGCATTGCGTAGGCTTAGCCACGCAATTTTAAATTGACAGTTGCAATTATAGGGTATATCAGAACAGTGTAGAAGTAATGCGATGGGATAATTGCCACTTTTGACCACTTTCATTCAAACATACATGGTAACACTTATATATATATATATATATATATATATATATATATATATATATATATATATATATATATATATATATATATATATATATATATGTATATATATTTCCGTAGCATTCACACGATTATAAGAGTATTAAAAAAATCGGGGCATTCACTCCTATAAAAAAAGATAATATCAACCCCAGATAAGATTTTAATGGAGCTTTAAAAGTCCACATTAACCAAAAAGCAGTTTTACTGAAAAGATAATAGACTTTAGAACGAGTTGCGGTATCAGTACTCATAGTGACGCATCTACAGGTGTCATTCATCGCGTCTACCACCATAGCATTCGGCTGTGCTTACGAATCAAACCCGGACTACTTCAACTGCACCGAAGTCGGTCACTTTCCCAACTTAAACGATCCTACCTGCACGACATACTTTTGCTGCTCAGAGAGGGACGACCAGTTCATCAAGGAACTCAAGACGTGCGTAGTCGATACATACTTCAACGAAGATACCGGAGGGTGCGATTATCTTTACCAGTGTCCATGCAGAGAAGCGGAGACGAAGAAGTCGACCGACTGCGTCGTCGACAGCAGCGCCCAGTTCACCTGCACCGAGCCGGGATGTTTCCCCAATCCCGCCGATCCCTATTGCAAGAGCTACATCTCCTGTTACGCCGCTAAAAGCGGGAAGATTTATAAATCGACTTATTCTTGTCCTTACGGTACTTTTTTTGATAGCGCTGGGGGCGCTGGCGGGTGTTCTATCGTGAACAATTGTCCGTGTCAAGAGAACGCCTAAGTGGTCTGTGAACGACACCATCGCCCTTGAGGGCCACTCTTCGAATACTGTGCTGAGAAATATTCGATTTGTTTTTAAATCTTATATATTTTATATACTTATCTTTCTCTGTGAATACGTTGCTATTTTTGTAATTAAATGTATTCCAACAAGACGATTAAATGTAGTTTTGTTTAAATTGGAAAGGAAGGAAAACTAACCAAAACATCAGGAAAGGTATTGCTGGTTGCCGAAACACAGTTCGTCCTATACATTGAAGATAATAATAAAGCTCATTTATTTCTGATTAGCCTATGGAATTATGTTGGAACTTAAGTAAATAAAAAAAGAAAAACATAGGCATGCAGCCGTTAACTCATAAATATTTTTATTAACGCAATACGTGTGACACGAAGTGTTACAAATATTGGTTAAAACTTACAATGGTTGGTTTTCCAAAGAAAACACTATTTTACATCTATATTATCCGTTTTTAATTTTGGGGCCTCGGAGCGAAATATCGTTCGAGTTTATGTGCCGCCCTCTGGAGACAACTGTTAAAACCTACTGAAGCACATTTCTATAGGGCGTTTAACGCGGTATCGCCAGGTGGCGCTCGCGGGTGCGATTCCATACGGCACCGGGTGGTCGATTTAAAAGGAATGTTGTGGTAGAGCAACGGAAATTTGTTTATAACCTACAATTCCGAGACGTTGCAACAACAGTGTGGGTTCGCGAGTGCCGGTGTGATATTTCGAAAACAAAATGCGTCCCTGTGTGTTAAGTGTTAATAATTGAAATCGTTCGGGTTGCTCCCTGAATGCCCGTAATTCCAAACGGCAATTAACGGTTTTTAACCTCTGTTGTTGGCGCTGCCTGCTGGTCAGGTAAGAGAAACACGAATCGCGTAGGAGCTTTAATATCTTTCGTACTGCGGATGAATCACCAATAACAAATTAACTTGACGCTGCTTATACCGAAACCAGAGTGAATATTAATCTATTCATGGTAAATAATAATTACTGGCAGTCAAATGTTAATTTGTTTTCGTAGTTTGGCGCTGCGAATGTACTGAGACGTATTTATAAAACTTTTAATTCAACTTTAAAGCTTATTACTAGCGTGTCTATGCATAAATAGTTGGGAAAATTAATTAAATAAACTTGTTTTGCCTTACGTTAGCTACAGCCGAAGCTGTAGCACCTAAACGAGACGAGACTTCGATAGTACCCATCTGCAGTGCACATGTTTAAACTTGCAGGTTCGCGTTTCGAATTTACAGCTGCCGATTTACGTGCTTCTTCCAAAAATTTGCCCAGCTCTTCGGGCTGCTTAAATTTATTGTTTTTATACTCGTTTTCGAGGTAATTTCGGAACCTGTCCCGGAAAAAATCGTCAACTAGTTTAAAAACTCCCAAACTGTACAAAACCATAACCGTCAGACACAGGAACCACCTGAAAATGGCGCCCAACATGTTATTTCCTTTGGTTCGCGTAGTCCAAGTACAGATAGTAGGCGGCGTCGAGACCTTGCTTGATCTGCGGCCACGACATTAAAAGGAAGACGATCAGGGAGTTGCCTATGACGAACAGTTTCAGGTTTTCCACACCCTCTTCCGATTTTAGCCACTTCGAGAACCCTTCTTCTTGATCGGAATCGAAGCCGCTGTCTTTCGGTGGGTTTTTGTCCTCCGCCGCGTCAGACGTTATTTTTTTATTGCCTTGCCAGTTGGATTTTTGTTTACCGCCCCGTGGTTTCATGCTCGTCGGTCATGCCTGAAGAAAAAAAAAGACAGTTTGGCAACGCTGCATTCGGGTTGCGTTTTATCGACAATAGGTGTCAGGTTCGGCGGGAAACGGAGTAATGGACGGTATAGTGCTTTCACAAATAAATGGATTTGCTATGCAATTAAAAAAAAGGTAATAATTAGAGAAGTTCCTTTTACAAATCATATTAGGTGCAAAGGAGTTAAAAACAATTTGGAAAACACAAATATTGAAAAGTAAGAGTACCTTCGTAAGCAAAGTAATAGGAAATAATATCAACAGTTTATATACCAAACTGTAACGGGTGACTATTATGAAGATGCAGGGTCGGCAAGTTAAATTTTCTAAAATGCCAATACGTGATTAAATGATTACATTTTCAAGTTATTTATAGAGTAGTTATAAGGGATAAGGGATAAGTTAGTCATAAAATATTTTCATTAATAAGAAATCTATTTTTCTATTTTTCACTATTGGTTGTATTTTATCCACCTATAATAACAATTATTGAAATTCCCAACTACGTACCCCTTTCTATGAAAAAATTGTTTCATTAACAGTTGAACAGAAAAAAAAATTAAAAATATAATTTTTACTCCTGTTTTAAAAATCCGTCGATTTTATATTTACATTTATTCATTTAAAACTAAATAGCTACCTTTTGAAAAGAGGATTTTGGCTCGGCCTATTTATTGGTTGAATAGTTTTTTATTGATTTTTTTATTATTTTTTAAAATGGCAGAAATCTGTAAAATCATTTAGAAATCTGCAATCCGCGAAATCTGTGAAGTCCCATGATTGTGTGCAATTTGGGATACGATACTTTTTGAGAAGAACTTTTTCATTTCTTTTCGATATACATCACAGATTTTCACATGATGTATTTATCATCATTCTTAGGGTTACAAAATCAAAAGACTTTTGGAAAAACAAAAATTTTGGCAGTATAATGAAACAAATAAATAAATAAATATAAATATAAAAATAAGTGCCCATATTGAAAGTTTAACTTCGGTAACATTACAGAAATTAATTCGGTTTTAATTTATTGAAAAATGTAAATGGAAAATTTTACTTTTGGGAATAAGTGAGTGAGCCATGATCGCTCTCAACAGACATTTAGGAAAACAAAAGTTTTGACAGTCAAATTATTGCGATAATCATATGGAAGATTACTGGTTGCATTTTTTCTATTACGATTAATTTCCAAACTCCAAAACATTTTAAAGAAATTTCACTTGACTTTTCAATTTTGAATAAACAATAAATTGGGACTTGGGGCTCGCGACATTTTGGTTTGTGTGGGTGCCGTAAATAAATCTCAAGCAAGGCTTTTGTATCATTACTATTTTATTAAACACGGACCACACATTAGACATAATCATGGTTAAAATGATTTAATATTCCGAATTTTTACCTTAAATGAATTTTCAATGTCATACGGACGATGGTCCTAAAATAGATCTCTGAGGAACACCACCGAGCGAATTCCCTACACTAACGATTTGATCAAAATTAAATGTGATGAAATGATGTGAAGCTATATGAATATATAATGTCTTCTTGAAACTAACATGTGCGTGCGGCACAAAGCGCTTCAGAATAACTTGGTACTTCGTCCTGTTGAACATCATCGTCGCTTTCTTTACCAGAGCTTTAAGGATCATTTGGCTGTAAAACTTAAATTATTTAGGGGAAGTCAGTCGTCTTCGTCCTTAATCAAACTCATCTTCCGATTTTATCAGACCTGCATGTCGAAAGCAGTTTGAAATCATTCCGACATTGTGCAAGTAATTTTAGGATAGTCATGTTGAAAGGTTCCTTATTTTCAAATGACTGGATCAAACGATACAAAAAATATCTGCGGTAATATGTCTTAGGAAATTTTATTACGCCTTGATCGATTGGTTGAACGACTGAGGTGCTATTTGGAGGCAACAACTTTAATCTGATATTTGAAAGGATTGGATTTCTTGGGTGAGCTGCACAATTGTCAACCAGGAGCAATATTTTCCTATTGTAAAAAATTGGTTTGACTTATCAATGACAGGTAGATTTTCAACACTTCTGATAATCTCTATCTTTTTTTTTACAGTTAAAGACTTGCGCCGATCCGCCATTTTGACCATAAACTCAAAAAATCGTGCTATGGCCAGAACGATAGCGAAAATATTGTACTCTATAACCGCAGTTAGAAGTTATATATGATACGCAATATCCGATGAAAAATTGAGAGTATTTTGGCCGGACCAGTAAAATATGTACGTATACCCGGAAATAAGTTATACCCATGTACGGTATAAACTGTATTTTTATTGGAATTAAATTTAATTAAAAAATAATATTAAGAATGTTTAGGTGTGAGCAAGTAATAATTTGTTTTCAACATAATTCCGTTTAAAATAAATACGCAATACATTAAAAATAGGAAAAAAGAAAAACGTTGATGTTTTAAAGTAACTAAACTAATAATTAACAAACAAATCAATATCGACATAAAATTTTATATTTTGATTAGTTAAATTGCAGAAAACAGGTGATTTTATGTGCATTTTAAAACACATTTTTTTCTGATTTTACAAATGTTACACCATTGTTGTGATAACAACTGATATGATATGCAAAAAGAGAAGCTTAAATGAAGGATTTTATATTTTATTTCATTACTTAAGTACCTAATTATGGGTCATTTTACATTTTCGCGCTTGTTTTTGCAATATAAAAAATATCAAAATCGAAAACTCGCCCAGTGGAAACTTTAGATTTATCGCGGCGGTTTTATGTACTAATTCAACCCTCGTTGAAATGTGTCAAGGCAGAAATAAATTGCGCCCCTCGAGCAATAAGAACGGCTAATTTATCGAAAAGCCGAACTAATGACCCGCAAAAATCTGTATTGCCAAAGGATTGATTTAAGGGACCTCGAAAGAGGGGGGTGAGCTTTTTAATGCCTAATTAAAAGTAGATTAGATAAACACAGGAGAAGCGAACGTAAGGAAGAACATCATTTGACAGGCGAGCATTCGTTGGGGCGAAAATTAGTTTTGTTCCAACATTAACGCCCAGAATAGTAAATTAAAAATGTTCCAAAAACATGACATGAGGATTTTTTAATTAAGTTTCGCAGTGTCCGTTTGCCATGTTTGAATAAAAGCCAAACATTTTTTTCTGGGTCTAGCTTTGGATAAAATTGGGTACTTCCACCTAACAATCTTAATCGCCACTCAGGTCTCTATCTGTCACCCCCCTCAAACAATATATAAGCACATCCACGTAGTTGTTCTACGTAATTCCCCCAAATTTTGCAAATTGGTTCAATTATTTGCGGCCCTTCCACACGGGGGGACTGCAGTTCGTTTCGCTTTAACATTATTCGCCCTAACGATGTTATCTACAGCTTGGAAGCTCCGGGATCCGGTCCGATATTTAATCTGTCGCGACCAACTTAAACAACTAGACTTACTCCGACTTGTGGGATGGTAACGCCTCCGTTTTTGTCGTCTCCCAAGTTCGTCGTCGCCGTGTTTTGTTTATCGCTTAACCCTCGGGATGTTTTTGATGGCAAATGCAACACCGAAGGAGCCGCTAACGCGATATAGCTAACCGAATATAAATCTCGCACTATGTAGGTTTTCGAGGCAGGACGGTATCTAGCACCTGCGGTGCTTTTACGGAAAAGTTTTGTCAATGTAATTGTAAAAACTGTTCATAGTTAATTTTTCAAAGAAGGTTCCACAATAATATCTGCAAATCTTCCTGTTGATAATTGCTTTATCGGACTTTGTCCAATCGTCTTGTTGGTTTCTTCAAAGCCAAGTTCAAAGCTTAACTGCGTTTAATTTATCTTGATAACATTTTAACTGGCTGTAACTTTTTTGTTTTTAGATATATCAAGATAACCAAAAATGTGACGTATAAAACAAAACACTATCAATTTTCTGATATATTAGCCTACATCATATTTTCTTAAATGTGTATTATATGTGTTTAATAGGATATCTTATTCCGATTACAATGATGTAACACGCTTTATATTTTAGTCGTTTTTTGAAAAATCGGCAAAAATAGGAAATTTTTATTTAATTTTCAATCTTTCATTTAGTAACGTTTCCGGATTGTCTCTTGATTGATTACCTCTGAAATCATTTGCCGAAGTTCCACGGCATTATTACAAGGAGTTCTGTGCACGTAATTTTTTGTGTCCCCAAAAGAAAAAATCCATTACAGTTAAGTAGGGACTGTTGGCTGGCCAATCCATAGTTTTGGTTAGTTCCCTATCCAATCCCTGGGATATTCCATGTTAGGAAAATTTTTGACTTGCACAACATTGTGAGGAGGGGCACCGTCTTGCTGCCACATAATCAGTGCTGATATATTTAGGGATAAATCTTCTATGATGCTCTAAGAGTTGCAAATAATGATCTCCAGTTCACTTTTGATCTATAAATATCTGACCCAAAATATGCCCATCTATGACACCACACCATACATTAATTGATTGGTACCCCTGGGTTTTTATTTCAAGTATTTGTTATTGTTATTCTCATTACGTCTATTTCAAAAATCCAAACAAAACTACATCCTCCTGTGACATTGTGTGGCATTTAGTTTTTGAGTTTTACGAAATTTAAATTTATATTCTTTCAAAACTGAGTCGATTCATCCCCGATAAATACCTGTCTCTTCATATACCCTAGCAGTAGAGGAAACTGGATGTGCTTCATGGAATGTTTGCCTTATTTTCTTCATTTAAAATATTATGATTGCGGCCTACCTTTTTAGCATTTAATACGTCACCATTTTCTGCAAATATGTCAAGCATAAACATATTTTTATTTGTCAGGCAGGGCACTATTTGACATTATATATTTTTGTCAAAAACGAGTGAACTAAAATGTAAAGTGTGTTACATCATTGTAATCAGAATAAAATATTCTATTAAACGCATATGTAATAAACAGTATGTTCCTTTAAAAAATATTATGTAGGCTTATATGTTAGAAAATTGATAGTGTTTTGTTTTATTTATTTTATATTTTTATTTATTTATTAAAAACAAAAAAGTTACAGCCAATTAAAATCAATCACCAACCACAATTTCAAATTAATTATAAAGTTACCAAAACTAACTAACCAATATTGGTATACGTGATTTCACACAACCATAGGATTTCACAGATTTCACGGATTTTTTCACAGTTTTGTGATTTTTCAAAACCTCAAAATTATTAAAATCGAAACTATTTTTAAACAAATACGCTATTTCAAAACACCATGAGTTGTCTATACACTCAAATATTGTCGCCTCAGACACAGTATGTCTCAACTAATTTAGCAACTAGAACTTACATAAACTTGAGAATTTGAGGTTATTTTTTTTAGACAATTTGGCCAACTTACAAATATTGGTAAATATAATTCAAAATTCCTAAAAGATGCCTTCGCAAAGGAAGGGTCTGGGTTGATAAAATATTCATATAGTGGAATAAGCTTCTAAATAATTTCTCAAAATGACGACCGATCCATCCAAAATATATCTTACGGTACCAAAAGAAGGACAATGGGGAAGCCAGACGTACACTGAAGTGACGTGTATTAAAGCTCCAATTAGGTATACATAGTTAAAGTGTGATCCTCTTGTAATCTATGCGCTCTCGACGGTATGGTCCTGTTCAGCCCCTGTGTTTGGTTAATTTACCTGGCTTGACCGTCGATATGCATTCATTGGCGCTTGGCTTTATTTTAATACCATCCGGACGTCGTATCAAACACGCAATTTAGACAGAAGTGCTATGAAGTATATGGATATATATTTTTATATAAACGGTAGATACGGTCGTTATACTCCTGACCACGGAATCTTTACAATGGAGGACACTTCCTGTGTCTTGCCTCTTGTTGCTTTCCAGCGGCAATGGTGTTGATAAAATATGTGTTTTTAGTTTCAGCAGGTCTGGAGATTTTTCTTACTATATGAATTATGAACATGGTTCCTTCAAAATCGATCGAAGAACAAGCAAGAGTCCACGTGACCCTCCACAATCATCATAAAGAGTTTGTAACGAACACGCATAGTAGGCCTAGACCGCTGTGTCAGTACTTCGATGACAGTAAAGACAGTAGTGTGCAAACGTATCCGATGCCAATGCGTTACGTGGGTTTTCTATGTTGTTAGATGGTTTCGCAGCTACCTGATGGCAAGGTGTGGAGGACAGGATCCATACTTGGGATGAAGTTATCGATTTGTCACGAACCACCTTCGGTCCAAAGAAACCTCCATATAAAATATAACAGAAGATGTTAAGACAAACAGTGATGTTTTTATTTGCAACGCACGCGCAGTACTGACGCGAGTGTCAGTCGGCAAATGAATTGATACAGAGATTTTACCGCGTATAACCGTTTAAATTCTGTTTTCATCCCAACAAACTGTTCCTACCCGCTTTTATATTAATAAATACCGTTTGCTTGAGTGCGGGTTGTTACTCTAAGTTTCTTTAACCGATTCTAATTGATGTCGTTTTCGAAAAACAATTTTCATCGAATACGAGCCTGTTTAAGACAGACCTAAATCCCGTTAGTCTAAGTATTCGGTAAGGGGGGAGGAAATGAAGCCCCAGCAGTTGGCAAATTAGGTTAATGGGAAATTACTGCGTAAAATTCCTCTTCGACACGGCACAGGAAATGACAATTTGAAGGCAGACATTTCGTTTAGCGAACTGATTTCGACCCGTTCTAAATATAAATCTGGCGTTGGTATTTAATTAGGAGTGACGTCGATAATAATAATGCACGTTTCGTTCCAAAAAACCATCTCTAAACTATGACGTGCCGGTTTTGTGTTAGTGCTCTCGGTTCCCTTCAAAACAACCGGTCCGTTCAAATCGTATTCAGAACTGAATTACCTCCGTTCGGCAGTTAGTCTCCGAGGACCTCCGATGTTAATTACTTTACGATAAACGTACAATTTCGGACTTTGTGCGAGCAGTTAATATTAGAATTGGCTAATTAGTCCTATTCATTCGTTTATTATCTGCCAACTTGCAGCGGATCTGTCCGCGCCTCGATATAAATTTACGATGCGAACGTTTGTTCCCAGAGTAGATTCCATTTGCTCAATTTCAGCCTGAAAGCGGGTGTTTGTGATGATTAGAACTAGCGGGAGGTGTAGCGAACCCATGGTTGTTATGGTAGGTTGTAAGATCTCGTGTGGATGCCTATAGCAGCAATACTAATGCTATCATGGTATGGTCTGTTCATAGATATAAGAAAGTGACAAGAATATTACCTATAGTTTCGTAATTTAAATTCTTTAGTTTAAGTTTATTAGTAATCATTCTTATTTCGTGTGTAATACAGCGTGTGTTGAATCGTGTGCGAATTATGCAAAATATGTGCGAGTCTAGTGTATCTCAGGAGATGCTCCCGCCCAAATGTAGAAAACACTATTCTATTGAGACTAAGGAAGTTATAAACATAGTTTATTTAACTCTCATTGAACGTGGTGCCAGCGAGCAAGCATCTTTAGAAGAAACGGTCACATTGACGAAAATTCCAACATCAACTGTATGGAAAATTATGAATAATAAAGAAGCGATGCTGACATTTTCTCGAGTGTATATGAAAGTGATCAAGATATAATACGGCGTAAAATTTACCAGTTATACAAGGAACAAAGCGTGCCTATATTAGATATCTTAATTAGGAGGCTTGAAAAAGTCGAAACCGGTGTTAAATGTGGCAGAACCACCTTACGGAAGTATATTCAACACATGGGTTTTAGATAAAAAAAAAATGACAAAAGGTAAGTTTTAATGGAATCTTTTAGAAATCCGAAATGGCTACTGGAATATCTAGAAAAAATTAGGATTTACAGAGAACAACAAAGGCCAATTATTTACTTGGATGAAACCTGGTTCGACGCTTATGATACCCCGGAAAAGGGTAGGGCTGACTCAACTGATAAGTGTAAAACAATCGCGCCATCAAAAAGAGGTAAAAGAATAACTATTTTGCATGCTGGCTCTAAAGATGGTTAGGTTCCAATTGGACTTTCTCTGTCTGCCAAAAATATTAAAGATTCTTCTCTGGATTACCATAAAGACGCTGATTTATTTGAAAGTTAAGAACAAACTAGTTCCAAACGTTAATCCTAATAGCGCAATTGTAATGGAAAATGCCAGTTATCACAGTAGACAGTTGACTAAAACCCCTTCTTCATGTGACACAAAAGAAACAATCCAAAACTACATGTATAATAACGACATTTATTTTCACGAAGATTATACCAAAAAGCTATTAATTGAGGTCATACAAAGCTTGACCCTACAAAAGGAATACGTCTGTGATAATTATGCAAAAAATCTGGGGCATACAGTTTTACCACTGTATATTTAATCCCATTGAACATGTTTGCCTCCAACTGAAATCTGCCATTCATCTTAACAATGTTTTTCCCTGTGTTAAGTCCAATGTCCTCAAACTTATAGAAACCGAAGTCTTTAACATCCATCCACAAAGTTGGGCAAATTCTGTTAAACATATAGAAAAAGCAAAACAATCGTATATCTATATTGCAAATAATA